GGTTTATGGTGCTATGAGAATAGAAAAAAGGAAAAAGCAGCTAGTCATCAATGTCAAGAGATATTTTCCCTGAGGAGGAGATGCCTAAGTTGAGGGTTAAGATTAAAAATAAAAAGGCTTTAACTAAGTCAAAATGAAGAGGTACATGGATAAGTGGCCAAATAGAGGAAATAGAAATGAATGATGCCTTCAAGGGACCAAGCAAAGGCCTGAGTGCACATCAGATAGGAATCAAGAACTAGCATGGTGAGAATTTGGACTGGAAAGGTCAGCAGAGAGCAGGTCACCCAGGACCTATAGGACCACTAAGGATTATCTTTGTACCATAAGAGCAATAGAAAGCCATCTGAATGTGACAAACTTGGTTTGAAAAGATCTTTTAACTGGGGTATGGAGAATGGGTTGGAGGGGAGAGGGAGTGTATTAGTCCATTCTCAAATTGCTATAAAGAATAGTTAAGACTGGGTAATTGATAAAGGGAAGAAGTTTAATTGGCTTATGGTTCTGTCAGCTATACAGGAAGCATAGCTCCAGCATTAGCTTCTGGGGAGACCTCTGGAAGCATACAGTCATAGTGGAAGGGGAAGTGCGAGCATGCACATCATCTGGCAAGAGCAGAAGCAAGAGAGTGAGGGAGGAAATGCTACACACTTTTAAACAACCAGATCTCATGAGAACTCTCTCACAATGGCGAGGACAGTACCAAGAAGAATGGTATTAAACCATTCATGAGACATCTACCCACAATCAGTAGGTTAACAGAGCTAAGATTCAAGCCTTGGTCTATATGACTTCAAAGCCCAGGTTTTTCTCTACTGTGTCATTTATTTATTCATTCAGCACTTAGTTACTGACCATCTGTTATGTCATGATTCAATCACCTTCTACCAGGCACCACCTCCAACACTGGAGATTACATTTCAATATGAGATTTGGGTGGGGACACACATCCAAATTATATCAAGGAGTAAATATGGGAAGACCAGGACACCAGTTAGAGGCTACTGCAGGATTCAGTTAAGAGGTGACAATGGGTCGAACTACAGTGGTGACGATGGAGACAGAGAGAGAGGTGGAGCTGCCCACAGTCATATAGGCAGTAGGTTAACAGAGCTAAGATTCAAGCTTTGGCCTATTTGACTGCAAAGCCCAGGTTTTTCTCTACTTTGCCATTTATTTATTCATTCAGCATTTAGTTACTGACCATCTGTTATGTACGAGGCCTGTGCCAGATGCTGAGGATATGGCCATGAACAAAACAAATACTGCTCTTGTGTAATTTACAGTCTAGACCTTAAACAAATAAGAATACAAAGAGATGTATACAATTACAAATTGGGATGAGTACCATGAATTTTAGTAGGTAATATTACCAATTAAACTACAAAAATCTTCCAAACTGTTGATAATACAAAGAAGCCACTTGCCTATTGCATGCAAGTAAAAGACTTTAGGAAACTTTGCTTGTCAGAGTTTGATATTGAGTATGGCATCCCTGGCCAGCTTATGAGCTTTGAGGATAAGTAGTCTCAAGGTCACATTAACTCTGTGGAAATAGACGTCTTTCTAAAAGCAACTACTAACTCTTTAATTTACTTACATATCTCAATCTCAGACAATCATCACTTACATATGCATTTAAAATAGTTGGGATCTTTCACAGATTTGTTCATTTGAACATCACAGCAGCCCCATGTAGAATGCAGGCAGGTTTTAATATCAGACTTCAAGGTTGAGAAAACTGAGGCCTAGACATATAAAGTGACTGAATCAAGGTCACCAAACTAGGAAGGCACCCAGATCCAACTCTCACTAGAAGCACCTCCAGCCAGGAAACCATGAATCTCAGATGAGACAGCTGCAGGTCACTGAGCCTGGATAGTCACCCAGGAGTCCCATGAAGTTCCTGAGAGCAATGATCAGGGACATTATGCAGCTTGGGAAAGGTTTCTAGAATGCAGCACCACAAGCCCGAGACACAGGTACCCTTGCCAACTCTCCCAGATTAGAACAGGTTCTCTTGGACTCCTTCCAAGTGCCTCTGACTAACAGAGAAAAGTACTTTTCCATCACAAACACTGCAGGCAGGCATCAGACTCCTGAGAGGGGAGGGCAGAGAACACATCCCAAATTCCCATATAGACAATCTGTAAAGTTATTCTGATACCACGTGAACTGCCCTAGCTAAGCACCTACCACTGGGGATGTCCAGTATTGAGCAGCGTTTCTCAATCTTGACACTATTAACATTTTGGGCTAGATAATTCTTTGTTATAGGGCACTGCCCTTGCATTGTAGGATGTTCAACAGCATCCCTGGCCTCTGCCCATTAGATGCCAGTAGTGTCTGTACATAAACTCTTTTTTTAATTAATATCACACAACTAATGCCTCCCAGAATGAGACTGAGGGCAGCCTCTGGACTGATGTGGCCTGCAAGTATATCCCAGAAACAATTCACCACTGGAGCTTGTAAAAACAACTAAAGTCAAATAACTCCTAGTTCCACTAATGAGCTGCTTCTGACCCTGTGAGAAAATCTTATTCCCATTAATGTGAGCAGCTGAGTCTGATTAAATAGAAGCCCTGGGTGTTTCTTCTCAATGACACTGGGCCAGAGCACAGGCTTCCACTGTTGCTAGAAGGAACACAAAACTGGTGAATCAAATAACAGGAAACTCTCATTTACCCAAAATTCAATACAAAAACCAGGACACTCAAATATCCCAGATTTAACCATTCTGGACTTAGGATAAAGGAGAAAGTGGCAATGTACAAAAACCAGCAATCTGAATTAACAAGCTAATTAAATAGCTGAAACATTACCAAAAAATCATGCTCTCAAAAGGAGATAGAAACCTGAAGCTGAGCTCCAGAGCAGCTGGGGTGACTCAGACAGTGTCAGAGACATAAGTGCCAACCTCCCATCCCAGGGGCTGGGCTGCTTGCCCAGATGTGGGAATCACATCAGTTATAATGCTTCAAAGCTAAAATCAAAGAAGCAACATCTTTATACCTTTCATTAGTCAACTAGCTAACTAGTTAAAGGGTTTACTGACAAATTCAACCAATTCACCACCATTTGGTACTAAGTGTATTTTAATGTACTGCAATTCTTTGAAGACTGACTAACCATGAAACGCCTACCTGTGAACACACAATCACTCAAGACTACTGCTAATTTCTATGTGACTTTTGCATGTTGTACTTAGCTCTTTTGTTGCACATCTCATACTGAAATGTAGTAAAATTTTATTATAGGTCTATCACCCCTAGTGGACAGTGGACTCCTTCAGGGCAAGATTTACATCTAGTACAAGGTATAGTACATAAAAAGACCCTCACCATTTGTAAGATGGATGGATGATAAAGTTTTCCATCTCTATATTCTTAGACTTACTCTTATCTACATATTCCAGTGGGAAGATATGGCCCATGTCTTTTCTCCTCCATTTCTCCAAGGCTTAAGACATTGCTCAATAGGTGCCTAATAAACATTAACCTATTTGGTTGGACTCCAGAATCCAAAGAGACAAAGAAGCTTTCTGTTCATGAACATCTAAGTCCCAGGAAAGAGATCAGAAATCCTAGCTATCTACCCTGTCTTGTATGCATTTGTGTATGTGTAGTCTCTTTTAACTGTAAAGAATTTGATGCACGACAACGAGCACACTCTCTAATAAGCAGTGGAAATACAGAAGTGAGCAAGATTAATCTTGTGGCTTCCCACACAGAGCTTATTGTCTGAAACAAAAGACAGATATGAACAATTGCACACACACACAAAACCTAGCTACTATGCTCAGTGAGTCTCTTTAGGAAAAGGTTCTGTAGATAAGCCCAATCTTCAAGCAATCTGAATCTCTTTGAGGAAAGTGATGACCTTCCTCCTAATGAATGACACGCTTTCCTAAGAGCATCCTCTAAACAGTAATATGGAAAGTTTATTATACATCTTTGTTATACAGCCCTCTATTTCAAAATGATCATGAAATGTTTTAAAACACCAATTAAAAGCATAGTAGATATGACTGCCAATAAGTTTATATTTTTGTGTAGAAATGTATAGTATGTGTGACTTACCAAGGATAGCTGAAGCTGACCTGAAAACCTGCAAAAACCAGAAACTCCTGAAATAAGAGTCACTAGGTATTTCGGAGTCTAGAGATGTGTGTGTAGCTAGCAAGCAAGACAGGAGTAGGCAAGAGGACTCCTGAGGACCCCTGAAGTTCAGAATACTTTGACATAACAGATCTCGGGAATTTCAAATTGGCTGGGGAACTCTGTGAAAATCAGCAGGCAGGAAGGCAGAGATGAATAGAGGCCATGAAAAAACAAAATCTGAGGACAAAACCAAGAATATGAAGGCCAGGAAAGAATTGCCCTAAGGGAAAGAAACAAATGAAGAGTCAAGAAAAGACAAAGATGCCAAAAGCTGTATGGCATGATATAACATCTGAGGGAATATAAGAGATGTCTGAACCAGTACGCGTAGTTTACTAGAGTCAATAAAAGTTTAAATCAGAATACCATGCCAGCTATGAATCACAATAATGCTCCTGCCTCGATCTTGAGATATTTATCTTTCACTTAACATTTTCTGATGCTTTTAATTTAGACTTAGAGAGAAATGCAAATAGAGTCATCTCCTCAGCTATGACAAAATAAGGACTTCCCAACAAGCTGGGCAAATCTCTGGGTGATGCTTGCTGCAATGGATCCCTTCTCAAAACCTCATGACTGGAAGGAGTTAACCTAACCCAGGCTTGCCTTTTTGTGACCCTGAGAGGAAAAGCCACCTATCTGGCTGATGGCAGAACTGCTTCCCAGTATCCCCATCTCTGATCCTTAAATTTTCATCAATAAAAACCCTTAACCCCAAGCTTAACCCCCATCTCTGATCCTTAAGTCTTCATCAATAAAAACCGTTAACCCCATGGCTGCTTAGCAGCTGTCACCCAGCTGCTCTTACCCACCATAAGCTCTCCGCTACTCTCTCACCTGTCTGAGCAACCAGGTGTGTCCACCCACTCCAGACGGCAGTGACCTTTTCATTCTGGAAACAATTTGCTTCTATTTTCTGAGGCACAGGAAGGAAAGCAGCCTGAGTAGCCAGTTGCCGATGCTTGTTGCTTCCCCAAACATACACCTCTCCAGCATCTTAAACACACAGAAGGGGAACAAAAGAGGCGAGGGAACATTAGTCCAAAATGATGGAAAATAACAGAAGTCTAAAAAATAAGTGGTTAAAAGAAGTTGTTTTACACTTACACTACAATGTTGAGTGGAACCGAGCAGGATACAAAATTCATGTACAGCATAATAACATATAAATTTTTTCAAATTCTATACATAAAAAAAGACCAAATGTTCTTAGTAGTTTAAGAAATAAAAATGTATTATTTTTCTTTTCATTTTTTCATTCAACAAATATTTATTCAGCATCTACCAGGTGTATGAAACACATTTCTCTATTTTCTACATTTTTAAAATATATGCCTAAACTAACTTTTGTATGGAAAAAATTGCTTTAACTTTTCAAAATAACAGGTTAAAAGATACATTGCTTAAATTTTTTAAACATAAGATTATTTCACTGCATGCCCTGACTAGCAGAAAATATAATGCTGTAGAATCACATATGGATAGCACTTTAGCATGCTTTAACTTCACAATAAATCCTGTGATATAAGCAGGAATGTGACTGACTGACATTGTGATTTAACAGAAAGAGAGCAAATTCAGAGTCAAGTGACTCTAGCTTCTATTCCTGGATCTGGTAACTAGCTATTGACCTTGGACATATCACTTCATCTCTAAGCCTTAGTTTCACCAGCTGAAAATTGGAAGGGAAGGCAGTTGCTCTAGAAGGGCAGACAATATGACTGAGGACACTGGTAACAAGAATAACTGCTAGGTGACTATGGCAAACCAGAGAGTACGTGCCTATTTAAAGGGCATTCACATTCAAAATGTTTTGTAAATGAAAGCCATACCAAATGGGGCCATAGACTATAATTTAGACTATGCCTCATCAGTTTATGACTCCTCAGCTTTTCCAACCCTTATAATCTGAGAATCTACAACTGCACTATTCAATACAGCAGTTCATCGCCTACATGTGGCTGTGAAACACTTGAAATGTGGCTAGTCCAAATTAAGATACATTGTAAGTGAAAACACACAGCAGATTGCAAAGACTTAATGCAAAAAAGAGTGTGGCTCATTATAATTTCCTATGGGTTACATGTTGAAATAATACTTTGGATACACTGGGTTAAGTAGATATATCATTAAAATTAATCCCACCTGTTTCTTTTCATTTTTTTATTTGTGGCTCATATTATATTTCTATTAGCACTGTTCTAGAAGATAAATTAATCAAGGCTGGAAGAGGTTCATCACATGGTTAATAAGGAGTCAAGTAGGGACTAGAGGCCAGGTCTTCTGCTTTCACTGCATTTTGTAGCTTCCCAATAAAGCTTTATAGTATTGCTTGCCCTAGGGCAGTCTAGTATATAACCAAAAACTGATGGAAAGTCAAACAATATCATTTAACAGCATTAGACTAAGGTTCAGAAGTCTCCAGTTGAAGTTCCATCTGCTACCAGATCACTGTTTGACACTGGGCACATCACTTCACATTCTAGGTCTGTTTCCTCAACTCTAAAATGAAGGAGTGTAAATCAGTGAAGCCTTTTTGTCACTTGGGTGACCCTGCAACACTGACATTCTGCAGTTCTATGAAGTGAATTTGGTGTATTTCATTCCCAGAGAGAGGGCAACCTCCTGAAGTTCATCAGGGTATGCAAAGTATAAAGATCTCTTACAAGATAGCAAAGAAGCCCTCTGAGTGAAGTATCAATCCATTAAGTGGACTGGTGAGCTACAAAGATGCCACTGATGATGAAGCCTGTGTAAACAACTTCATTTACCTTAGAATATCTAAACCATCTTTTTGAAAGACAAACTGTCTTCCAGATGAGGATCATTATGCTGTTGCCTCAGCAGATAAAATTAAATTCTGCTGCAATGCCAATTAGTTACATAATATACAACCACTCCAGAGAAAAGGTCTAAAGAGCACTGAACAAAATCCAATATGTAACAGCTTGAACTAGGTAAAGGAAGAAAGGGCCAGTAATTTTTTATTTATTTTTTTTTTTTTAAGACAGAGTTTTTGCTCTATCACCCAGGCTGGAGTGCAGTGGCACAATCTCAGTTCACTGCAACCTCTGTCAGCCGGGTTCAAGTGATTCTTCTGCCTCAGCCTCCCAAGTAGCTTGGGTTACAGGCACATGCCACCATACCTAGCTAATTTTGTATTTTTTAGTAGAGATGGGGTTTCACCATGTTGGCCAGGATGGTCTTGAACTCCTGACCTCAAGTGATCCACCTGCCTTAGTCTCACAAAGTGCTGGGATTACAGGTGTGAGCCACTGTGCCCAGCAGGGCTATTAATCTCCACAAGTTTTAGCTCACTTTCAAAATATCAAAAACCATTCCACTTTGTGAATATACTAAAAATTACTAAATTGTATACTTTAAATGGTGAATTTCTTATATATAAATTATGTCAATAAAAATATTCAACATTCATATATAAAAAACACCATAGAAACACCGCATATTCTCACTCATAGGTGGGTGATGAAAAATGAGAACACATGGACACAGAAAGGGGAGTACTAAACACTGGGGTCTATTGGGGGGAAAAGGGGAGGGCCAGTGGGAGGGGGAGGTGGGGAGGGATAGCCTGGGGAGAAATGCCAAATGTGGGTGAAGGGGAAAAGAAAAGCAAAGCACAGTGCCATGTGTGTACCTACGCAACTGTCTTGCATGCTCTGCTCATGTACCCCAAAACCTATAATCCAATAAAAAATTAAAAAAAAAAAAAAATACCATAATAAAAGTGCCCCATATATGAAATAATAAAATTGCTACCAATAAGATTTTTAAGAAGTTGATGTTGGCAAGCAATTAGACAAGCTCAGTAGGTTTCAAATTAGTTAGAACAAAAGAGAAACACCTTGTAGTGTACTTTTATTCTCAGAAAAGAATGCCTTCTCCATCCCTCATTGACTGTGGGGTATGAACACATCACATCTCACCCTAAGATCTCCAGTCCTTCCTCTGTAAAAGGAAATGAGGGATCAGATACCCAGTGGAGTCCCTTATAGTTGGCATTCATTTCAACTCAACACCTTTAACAAATATTAATATATAAATCTACTTAATATGACACACAAGTTAAAAGTAGATGCTTTTTTGTTAGTTGTTTTGAATTAATTAAGTAACAAATTATCTGCAGCTCAGAATTTGCAAAGCATTTAAACTCTCACATTATGGCTCCTATGCTCTTGAAATAACTTAGTTGAACTGCATTGCAAATTTGATGTCAAAGAATGCATATCACCATTAATTTACATATATTATGGACACACCTGAATTTCTACATAAAAACATTAAGTATGGAAGTCCCTCTTCTTTGCTTAAAAAATAGAATACATTCAACTCTGTGAGGTCTTACCAAACAAAATATTGTAAATTTCTCAGATGTATAGTCTCCAGTCTACCAGCAGGGGTCAGGACAATGTGGGCCAAAGAGAAGGGATAACACTTTCAAGAAAATGCTTCATTGCGTTGGAAGGAAAAGTCACTACACAGTTTATACTGTATTGGCTCAGTGTTTCAAATGGAAGGATGAATGCACAGCCAAAGGGAGAGATATAGTGTAGGATTTTAAAAAGCTAAGATAGAAAGACAGATCGAAGAGATGAATTAGAGAAATTAGAGAAATATAGAGAGAAATACATAAATTCGAGAAATATATAACAATATAAAATATTCACAAAAATATATATCTAGAGTTAGATATGTAGATACATAGATGTTAAGACAAAGATGAAAGATAAATAAAACAGATATATAGGTAAACAGAGTAGATAGATAAATGGACATTGATAAGTGGATTAGAAAGACATAGATGGATAAAATACTTTGACATTAGCCAGCTAATCAGTATACACAGGTAGAGAGCTTAGACAGTTATAATACACACCAAAATAGATTAGATGGATAAGACAGTAGCTTCTGCCCTCATAATCGTAGGTATACAAGAAAACTACAAAGAACTCATGATTATATAATACACTGTGTTATCCATATATATTATGTATAAATTTACTGTTGATTATATGATTTCACAACCACCATTACCCTGAGAGGAAGATATTATTATCCTTATTGTGTAGTTAAGAAAGCAAACTCAGATGAAATGGAAATGAGCCAATGTTTGCTGTCCATGCTTTATATGTATTATATTTAATTCCCATAAGTACCCACAAAGTCTTTTACAGACAACAAGATGGTCTCAGAAAGGAAAAGTAATTCGCTGAAGAGTATACCAGTGGTAGTGTCAGAATTCTAGCTCCAAAGTCTATGACACTCCCTCTGAATTTCAACATCTCCACTTCAGGCAGTCACATACAGAATCCTGAATGGCACGTTACAATGTCAAAGAGCTGGTACGTACCTGTTAATGAAGCTGAGTGGTCTGAGCCAGCAATAACACACATTGCTTTAGAATTCTCTAGACCTACAAAAGAAAAAATTTTCTTTTGAATTACATTTATAACAGAACAAAATGGGCAGAGAGGGGACTCTCAGCCAACACCACCTGGGTGTGGGAGAGACTCAGCCAGTGAAGGCAGGCCTGAGTCAGCAGCACTGGCCAAGAAGATGGCTGGCACTGTAGGGAGCCTGGTAACACACCAGGGGATTGAGCAATCAAGTAAATATGTTCAGGATAAAGGAGCCAGATTCATCACTCCCAAAAAGGGGAGGAAAGGTATAGATATGAAAAGGGGAAAGGCTAGAATCAACCATGTAATACTGGAGAGTAATTGGAAAAATCAGTATAAATTGATGATTTCTAGTAGAGATAAATACACTTAGGTGTGTGTACATAAAAATGTGTGTGTGTGTGTGTGTGTGTGTGTGTGTGTGTGTGTCTATTTCCTAACTCTAGCGGTTGAGGGGGTCTAAAAGCAATGATATCTCATACATTCAGCTGCTATCAGAAGCAAGCATTTAAATAACCCCAAGCCTCCTAAGAACACACAGTCAGAACCAGATTTTGAACTGGGCTCCTTTCTCCAAATTCAGCACTTTTCCTCCCTTAATTACACTGCTAAAAGTGGAGACAGACTGTGCTGACATGCAGTCTAGCATGCAGATAGATGCAGACTTATTCCGTAACTCTTTTTTCTGATACTTCTTTTTAATTAATTATTGTCTTTATAAAACGGCCCTCACACCTTCAGGTGTCCTCTGGAATGATAACAGGACAAAGCAAATGTTTTCACCCACCTTCACCAGAGAGTAAGTACTGAGCCCCTAGTGGCCAGGTGAGGAGGGGACAACCAGGGTTCCAGCTCCAGAACCTTTGGCAATGAGGTGACTACGGGAGGATGAAAAGTGAAAGACTTTGAGGACTAGAAGTTGATGATCCAGTCTAATGTCTCATCAGAAAATTCTCCCAACCCAGCTCAGAATCTAAGCTATGTCCCACCCAAACAGATGCCAAACAGGTTGTTTAAATAAAATAAAATAAAAAACATTTTTCCTACTAATAACAGGTCCTGTGCTAAAATATAGAGCAAATTGACACACAGTTTCCACCCTTTAAAAGTCCATAATCTTTAGCATACGAGAAAACATACAGACAATTCATAATAATACAATATATTATGCCATCCATGCATGTGAAGCTAATGCAGTAAAGGCTAGAAAAAAAAAGGTCTTTACTGAGAAAGGTGTATCTGAGCTAGGCCTACAAAAATTCTTAAATTTTTTCCCAGAGGGAACACAAAGGAAAAGGCATTTCAGGCAGAGGTAACAGTTTGCTCATAAGCACAGAGAAATGAGAAGGCAGGATAGGCCAAGGGAGAAGTGAACACCTTGATGAAGAAGACAAAAATGTCTGAGAAGTCTAAGTTTATATTATACATGTTTCTAATATCATATGAAGTGGACTACCTGTCCCACATCCTATGCCTCCTTCTCCTTTCTAAGAGTACCCTCCCCAGCTCAACCCATGGGTTTCAGGGAAGCTAAGTCCACCCCTAGCTGAAAGAGAAAACCTCCAGGACTTAGAAAAATCAGAATGATCCCAACACTCAAAATTACATCCCTCCCACTGCAGCCCACCCTTCCCGATTCTTTCCCCACCCTTTCCCACCACCCTCAAAAGTCCCTGCTTTGTTCCAGGTGACAGAAGTAGTTACGAGTCTCCTGTACGAGTCTTTCCAGCCAAGCCTTGGTAAACTGGGTCACAAATTAAAAGGAAAAAAAGGGAGAAGAGGAGGAGATGGAGACATGGTGCTGTATATAGAGGGAGAAAGGAGAGCAGAGAGAAAGAAAGAAAGAGAGAAAGAAGAGGAAGAAGGGTAGGGGGAAAGAGAGGAAGGAGAAAATAAAGACCAAATGACCAATAGACCTATGGGAAAAACACATATTACCTACTCCTCATATCTTCACGTAGTGAGATTTCCTTATGGGAACACTCCTAGCACCCCGTCTACATCCTCACTCACTCCTGCTTCCTTTTTGAGAGAACGAACTGGCCATGTGAGGCACGGTCCTCCTGGGTTCCCTCTTTGGGGTGTGCCTGCCTGCAGAGAGGGTATACCCTCATGTCCTCTTGGTCAGGCATTAAGTTTAGCAGGGCACACTCTATGCATCTATCCCAGTGCTTTGTGGGTAAATTCAATCAGAGATTCAGAATTAGAGGCTCACCATGATGATATACTGTCTTCAAACCCCCAATCATGTCTTCCAACCTAGTTTTTAACAGTTCTAGAGTTACCATTTCAATCTCCACCTACCTGACTTGCATCTATTCCTCAATGGGCTCCAAATTCTGGCAGCAAAGAGGGTTGCTTCTACTGGGCCCACAAAAAATGCTAGCAAGACTAACAGGCCAACTAATAGAAAAAGTTAGAGAGATCAAGAAATAATAAAATCAAAAATCCACTTAACCCTCTTCTGCATGTCTATGTCTCTACTTCCTGACAAAGAACAAATATAGGACTAAAGAAATAAGGGTCTCACCTGTCACTCTGCTTGGTTCTTTTGCTGTAAAAAACAGTGGAAGAGTCTGCCCGGGGCACAACCGTCGTCCACATGATGCCAAACCAGTTCCCCACTGGAACACGATGCCACTCACTTCCCAACAGAATGGAAGAGAAAGCAGAGAAGATGTACATCAGGATAAGACTAGATTGCTCTTTGAACCTCACTGCTATGAGAAATTCCCAATTCTTTCTCAATTAATGTGAGTGTTATGGAGCAGCCCAATTGCTTCAAGAGGTCCTATATCTGGTCACAGGGATTACCACCAACCCAATCACAAATCCAGTCTTCAGGACAGACTAAGACCATCAAAGCAAATTCCAATACCACATCACTTCGTACAAAAAGTTCCAGGATACTCCTCCAGAGTCAAATCAGTGGAATGACACCTTATTCATAATTAATCTGAAAAGATAACCCAGACCCCAGACATAGCAGAAAAGAACCCTGAAGATCATCAAATCCATTTCTCACATTTAGTAGAGGAGAAAACTGAGGCCCTGAAGAGAGGATGTAATTTGTCTCCCCACACAGGAAGGCAATGGTAGAGAAATGCCAAGACTCAACTCTCCTAACATCTAATGTAGTACCCTTTCCACAACACCAAGATGAATTCAAAGATTCCTAACTGCCAAATAAATACAAATGTATGACTGCAAGATAGCTTCTTAATAGCCATGATTTCAGTGGAATAGCCTTTTACTTTCATGCCCACTGAATCTAATTCACGTACCCATGTTCTGAATCTCATACAAATGCAAAGATGAAAGTCTAGATATTTGGTCTATGGTTAGGTGTGTGCAACTAGGATCCATCACTCAACAGCAACAATATAGTCCCGCTCCTTTGGGAGTATCCTATAAACAGCAGTCCTTTTTCAGGTTGTAAACAGACAAGCCTGTTTTGTAAAAATAAGCTATGACCACTGAGCACAATGTGAGCAAATCACAGTGTGGAAATAAAAACGTACAATCTCTGCAACAAATTGATTATAAGAGGAAAAAATTTATAGATTAAAAGAGACTTCAGATAGCTAACAAGAGATTAATATCCAGAATATATACAGAACTCCTAAAACTCAACAACCAAAAGAAACAACTCAACTAAAAACTGGGCAAAGAAGTAATTCCAGCACTTTGGGAAGTTGACGTGGGAGGACTGCTTGAGCCGGAGTTTGAGATCATCCTGGGCAATACAGTGAGACCTCATTTCTACAAAAAAATTAAAAATTAGCCAAGCATGGTGGTGTACGCCTGTAGTTCCAGCTGCCCAGAAGTCTAAGGTGGGAGGATCACTTGCACCTGGGAGGTGGAGGTTGCAATGAACCATGAACACACCACTGCATGCCAGCCTAGACAACAGAGGGGACCCTATCTTAAAAATACATACATATACATGTGTGTGTGTGTGTGTGTGTGTGTGTACGCAAATATATACGTTTGTGTGTGTGTGTGTGTGTGTGTGTGTGTGTGTATATATATATATGTTGGCATGGGAAGAACTATGTCCCCCTAAAATTCAGGTGTTAAAACCCTAATGCCAATGTGACTAGATTTGCAGATAGGCTCTATGGAATGCAATAAAAGTTAAAGGGGGTCATATGTGTACGGCCTTAATCTAATAGGACTGGTGTCCTTATAAGAAGTGGAAGAGACATCAGAGATCTCTCTCCCTCTCCACAGGCACACCCAAAAAATGCCATGTAAGAACAGAGCAAGAAGGTGGTCACCTATAGGCCAGGAAGAAAAAAAAAAACTCACAAGAAACAAATCCTAACAACACAACAATCTTAAGACTTTTAGCCACCAAAATGGTGAGAAAATAAATTCTTGTTTAAGCCTCCCAGTTTGTGGTCTTTTGTTATGGCAGCCCTAGCAGATCAGTACCGTGGTACATCCATACCAAGGAATACTACTCAGCAATAGAAAGGAATGAATTTGTGATACACACAACTTGGATCAATCTCTAGGCAATTATGTTGAGGGAAAAAAGCCAACCTCAAAAGGTAATATACTGTATAATACCATTTATATAACATGTTTGAAATGACAACATCATAGAGATGGAGAACAGAAGAGTGCTTAGCCTAGGGCTAAGATGTGGATATAGGCAGGTACAAGGGGACATGGCTATAAAACGGCAACATGAAGGATCCCTGCAGTCATGAAACTGTTCTGTATCTTGACTGTATCAATGTTAATATCCTCATTATGTTACCGTACTATAGTTTTGCAAGATGCCATTAGGAGAACCTGGGAAGAGAACACGCGGGCTCTGTCTTATTTTTGAGGCTGCATGTGCATCTACAATTAGCTCAAAATAAAGAGTTGAATTTTTCTTAAGTGTAATGAATGCTAAGCCCAGGACTGTCAGCACAGTGCGGCACTGAGCTCTTCCTCACCTCCTCTCTCCTTCCTCCACTCCACAACTGGACTCACGAAGCACTTGAGCCTCAGCTGCCACAGCCAATTAGTGCTGTCCTTCAGTTCAAAAGGAGTGAGAGCAGAGAAAAATGAAAAGGGGAGAGATAAAAGGGTCACTGTTCTCCCACATGCTACCTCCCTGCCCCCCTCAGTCCCATCACCTACTCACAGTACAGGAGACGAGCTCACTTGAAGCTTTTAAATTAATAAACACTAAAATCCATTAAGAAGGCAATGTAGTTCCCAGCAAAGAATATAAGCCTTAGGCGCCAAACCATCCCAGGCTCTGATCCCAGCTCTACCTTACTCCCTGTGTAAGCTTACACAAGCACTTTAACTCTGTGCCTTAGTTTCTTAACATGTAAAATGTAACTCACATCACTTCCTGGCTGTGAGATTAAATGAAGTAATTAAATCAACAGCACCTAGCACCATACCTAGAACATAAAGAGCTAGAAAACTTCATTTCCTTCTTCTCTACCTGCAGAAAGAAGTCTTTCCCACATGACTTCTGCCGTATGTTGTCCTTTTAATCAGAACCACAATGCAGCAGGACCCTTTGAAATATTCCTTAAACAGTTTTTCTCCTAAGTTCAGTTTCCTCTTATTACAGACCTATTTTAAAAAGGGGGTAATGGGCTGGGCACAGTGGCTCACACCTGTAATCCTAGCACTTCAGAAGGCCATGCGGGAGGATTGCTTGAGGCCAGAAATTCAAGACCAGCCTGGGTAACATAGCGAGACACTGTCTCTACAAAAATTCTTTAAAAGTTAGCAGGCTATGGTGGCATACACCTATAGTCCTAGCTACTCAGGAGGCTAAGGCAGTGAGACAGCATGGGCTCAGGAGTTCAAGGCTACAGCAAGCTGTGATCAAGCCACTGCACTCCAGCCTGGGCAACAGAGTGAGACCCCCATCTCTAAAAATTATTTAAAAATTAAAACAAAAAATGGTCACCTGTAGCAGCTAACGCATGCCTCAGTCCAGCAGCAATACAAACAATCTTCTCTTTATGAAGCTGTCAAAGTAAAGAAAAGGATTTAGATCTCAGAACTATCCATCTACAAAATTTTATTAATTTATACCCAAATGCAATGCAGTATGGTCCTCATTATGTGTCTCACTGGTTGAAAGTAACCACTCCCCACAACACTTCCACCCATAAATACCTCTATATTTATCCCTAAAAGAAAAAAAATATATCTTTTAAAATACCGTATCACAATACCACATGACAACTCTCAGGGCTGGGAGGCACTTACAAGGTCATCTAGTCCAAGAGTTAGTAAATGTTTTCTGTAAATGGACAGATAGTAAATATTTTATAGGCCATACAGTTTCTGTCACACTACTCAGTTCTGCCATTGTAACATAAAAGCAGCTTTCAATTATTCATCGACGAATGAGCATTGCTGTGTGCCAGTAAGACTTTATTTACCAAGGGCTCAAAGTTGCCCAAACTGATCTAGTCCAATCCCCATCCAAAAACACCCCACCAAGTGGTCATCCAAACCCTGCCAAACACCTACCTCTAGTGATGCAGGGATCACCACTTTCCCAGGTGTGTGCTCCATCTTTGCACAGTTCCATTTATCTCTTTAGGTGGAACCAAACCTATCTGCCTGCAGCTTCTGACAATGCTTTCCAAATATTTGAGACAGTTGTCATGTCCTCCCTAAGACATCTTGTAGTGGTTTTAAAAATAGGTCCTCAAATTCTTTGGTACTCCTCCCTTCAAGATGTAGCTTAATACCCCTCCCCTTGTGTGGGCTGGACTTAGTGACATGCTTTTAATGAAGAGAATGAAGAAGCAATGAGTAACTGAGAGACTAAGCAAAAAAAGGCACTAAGGCTTCCTGCTTAGCATCTCTCTCTCTCTCTCTCTCTCTCTCTCTCTCTCTCTCTCTCATCATGCCTGGGGGAAGCCAGATACCATGTCTGAAAAGTCCTATAGAAAGGTCCACATGGCAAAGAACATGAAACCATTAGGGCTTTATCAGATTTGTTTATTTACAAGTCATGTAGATTACATGCAGACCCAGCTAACGTCTCAACTGCAACTTCATGAGAGATCAGCTAAAGCTGTTCCTAAATTTTTGACTCTCCAAAACTGTGACATAATAAATGTTTGCTGTTTTAATCTGCTAAGTTTTGGGGTAATTTGTTGCACAGCAATAGATAACTAATGAAGATCTTTCCTTTAGGCAAATATCCCCAGTTCATCAGCCATCACTGGGTTTCAGATGTCCCTCTCCTCCCGGTTTCTCTTCTCTCAACATCCTCTAGTTTTTCAATCTTCCTCTTTTAAAGGAACTGTATAGCGCCATCATAACCCCATTAGGGCTTATCAGATTTTTTTGTTTACAGGTCCACAGTGTCTTTCTAAACTTTAGGACCCTCAAGGGCAGGATCTGAGTCTAATATACCTTTATGCCCAGGGCCTAAGCATCAAATGCACAACAAAACACAACATCCCAGATGCAGGCTGACTGAGCTCTGGCCTTCCTTCTTCTGGAAACTATACTTCTGTCAATGGAATCCACAATCACATTAGCTTTTGGGAAGATCAAATCTTTCTGTTAATACAATTTGAACATATCGTCCTTTAAATTTGTCTTTTGTTTTTTCCCCCAAAAACTAACCGAAGGGCTTTACATGTGACTTCTCTTCAACATCACTCACCTCCATCTCTTACTCTCCATCCCAACTGTTGCTGCTTTAGTTTGGGCCACAGTTATCTCATGTGGATTGTTAGCAAGAGTTTCCTAAGTAATCTTCCTTCAATCCATCTTCCACTACCCTATTTGACCTCCCTACCATGCTGTTCTTACCATGTGTCAGATACAACCACCCTGGTTGCCCAATTCCCACCTACTCTACCCTGGAATTCCCACCTCTTCCTTATATTCCAACCATACTAAATTACTCACAATATCCCAAATTCTCCTGTTTTATACTTCTCCACCTTTGCTTACATGGTTCCTTTTGCCTAGAATGTTCTTCTTTTGCACCCACTCTATGCATCCTCCTAGCCCAAGACAGTCGTAAACCTGTTCTCACCCCACCTTCCCCTAGATGTGCAATACTCCCTCATTTGGGGATATACATGCATCTATCATAGATCTGACATGGTATTACATTTAAGTATTTATGTGCCTATCACGTACTACCAAACTAATAAAACTCTCAAATGCTATGACAGGTCTTATTCAACTTTGCTCCCAATGTCTAAACATAGTACCTACACATAATGACTGCCATTAAATAAATGAATGAATTTCTATTAAATTTCACTTTGGCACATTGCTCCTATTATTGCACAGAATATAATCTGTCAAAATGTTTTTTACTTTCTGATTCTGTCATCCAACATATTGCTCCTCTATTCTTTAATTATATAAAGTATAATTAAGCTAAATTAATTATAACTTATATGTAGGTTCTTACAAGGCCATCTATTTGCAATTGGGAGCTATAACACTTCCTTCAGGAACTACAGAGCCTAGACTTGTGTGCATACTGTAAGGCCGGTTGCCTCGCCGGGAACTCAGACATGCCCATCCCTGTCCCCGCCTGAAAATTTAATCACCAGAATACACCCATCATCTAGCTCAGCTTTGGAAATCCCCTCTGCACTCAGCACTAAGCTCTGCACCCAGCACCTAGCCCACCTTGGAAATCCCCTTTGCACTCAGCACCTAGCCCACTCACCAGAAATCCTGCCTACCTACCAATAGCAGCTTGCCCCGTCCACATCCTGTTTCTCCACAGCCAATCAAACGCCTTCATTCCCTATAAAACCCCATGCCTGAGAGAAGTCAGGCATGACTTCTCTGGCCTCTTTCCCCGGGACCACAGAACCTCGCCCGGGAGCCGAATAAATTGGCGTCTAATTGTTCTCATGCAGGCCTCAGTTTCCTCATTTTAAACTCAGCAATAAACCTCAGAAGACAATAACCCTTACACATACCATGGGAACCATGATCCTAAACAACAGTCCCTAACCCAGCAACTGAGTTCAGCAAGATGGCAGGAGCAGACCCAAGATTTCTGCAGGGAAAAAGATCTCCCACTAGTAATCAGAGTTTAGGGAAATTAGATAGGAGTGGGGCAGCTTAGGTGGTAAAACTCATTTTTGATTCAAGCATATTTCTTTAAAAATTCTATATTCCTATTATGATCACTTACAATACAAACTTCACAAAAAGGGGTACATTTTAAGTATGATACACTGAAGTAAAGAGCTCTGAACTAGGGCCAAGAGTCCTATTTAACACTTGTTTTGTCCAGTATGGTAGCCACTAGCTACATATAGCTCTTGAGAACTTGAAATGAGATTCACTAAACTAAGACATATTGTGGGTAAAAAATGCACAGCAGAGTTCAAAGACTCAGGACAAAATCAGCATAAAATATCTTGTTAATAACTCTTATACTGATGACATGCTGAAATGATAATAGTGTAACTACAATGGATTAATTTAAAAGTTATTAAAATTAATTCCAACTACATGCTACAACATGGACAAAACTTGAAAGCATCAAGTGAGGTAAAAGAAGCCAGGTCACATATTTTATGACTTCATTTCTATGAAATGTCCAGGACAGGCAAATCCACAAAGACAAAAAGTAGATTAGCACTCACCAGGGGCTGAGGGGTGGGGAGAATAGGAATTGACTTCTGTTAAGCACATAGTTCATTTTGGTGGTAATGAAAATGTTCTAAAATAAGATAATGATATTGGTTGCTCATCTCTGTTGATACACTAAAAAACACTGAATTATACATTTTAAAGGGGTTAATTTTATGGTATGTGAATTACAGCTCAATAGTGCTGTTATTTTAAAATTTTAATTTCACCTGTTTCTTTTTTAAATGGGGCTACTAGAAAATTTTAAATTATATATAGCTCACATTATATTTCTACTGGATAGCACTGGCCTATATCATTTGCCTAGTTTAGTGTCTTTTGACAAATCACTTCTATCTGAACCTATTTCTAACATAAATTCCATTATTACTAATTTTATAACTGTAAAATATCATTAATATCCTTATGAGATGTATTACTTTTATTGTTTTATTTCACAAAATTTATAAAGTATATGAAAACTAAGAGGTTTTCATTCACAACATCTACCTCCCAACTTAATTTTTCCCAGAAGGACCTATTTTTCAACTCAAATTCTTCTACCCCATAGGTTTTCAGGGATCCTGACAGCCTTTTATTCTGAGGAGGGATAATGTAATACCTTGGAGACACTTTAAAAGGTCATGGGCAATCTAAATATTAACTTTCCTCACCTCAATGGCCTGGGGAACCACACATCTTCGAGGTCCATGAGGAACTCCTAACTGGCCAAAGGAGTTGGATCCACATGATAGAATTTGACCGTTTTCTGCAAAATACAAATACTTAAACATTGCAAATCTATGAAATAAGACGTCTGTGACCAATGGGTAATGCTGAAGGGTGAGAGATGCAAAGTGGGTGAGGGGAAGTGCTTCAGTGAATTCAGACCATATTCTCTGCTTTTATTCCTCTGGGAATGAAAACAATGGGCACCAGGTTAAGCATTCTACACAGATTGTCGATTCTGTTCATTCTACACAGATTGTCTATTCTGTTATCTCACTAATAACAGATTATCTATGTAGAACACTTAACTCAGTGCCTAGTACTGGGATGGGAGGATACTAATTTCTCACTTTTCATTTTTCCATGTGACAAAATTTCTATTAGTGTAACACTCCAGCCTTTCTCCCTTTCTCCCCATCCTCGATGCTTTCTAGGGAACAGGGGTCAAGTAACCAATTGGTGAGTTTGGGAGAAGGGACAGGACATGTGTGGCTTGGCACCTCCCTCTCAGTCACTCTAGGCTAACACAATGGAACCATTTCCCAGTGGGGAAAGCCTAGAGATTTGGGGGCAAGTTTGGACCAGAAGAATATTAGGACCACTTAGCCTCATAATTAATCCTGTCCTCCAATTTAGCCCTTATCAGTGAAAGACCAATAGTTTTTGATCTCCAATACTGACTTCTCTGTGCCTTTCTCACGATAGGCTCCAAATGTGAGCAGGAAAGAGTGTTATCTACCAATTCCTTATAATCCAATATAGGCTCACAATAAACACTTCATTAATGATAGCCACTATTTAGATTCTAATAAGTACCATCAAATTCAACATATATTACAGAACCCCTCCACAGAAGAGAATGGTGACACTTGAGCAGGGTTTTAAAGCTGAAATTCAAGTTCATCAGATAGACAAGAGGGGCTGGTCCAGACAGAGAAGAGCATGTACTGCTTGGTATGACTAGAAAGAAAAGTAGGAGGAGTGTGGAGAATAAGAGACAAGGCAACAGAGATAGCTAGGGAACAGTTACAGAAGGCCAACACTAAAAAACTAGGAATCTAAGCCATGTCCGGGAGAACCCACAAGGGTTTACAACAGGAGAGTGACAGAAGACGCCCTTGCCAGAGGACTGTGACAAAGAGAGAGCCTGGTCAGAAACCATAGATGGTCCTTTAAATCCAGGATGGCCAGCTAGACAGAGCAAAGCTGAATAGAGGTCAAAACTGTTTCAAGGGAACAGATATCAGTTGACAAAGGAACTACTGTTGGCTGCTCCTAAGAGTATTATTCTATTAACCCTCTGGCCATATCCTATCCTGCTACCTGGCCTCACAAAGGCCAAACAGATCTGTTCAACCCCATTTATTTAAAAAAAAAAAATCCCTCAGTAGGAAAAAGCTGCCATCACTGCTTTGGCAGACACTATTCCCTCATATTCTCCTACCACATTCCCCGTGAGTAACCCTTAGCTGCCACTGTTGGCCACTGGCCAGCTAGCCCACACATGGCTATTATGAACTTTTGGGACAGGAAGTGGCCACCAAAGGTGATCTAGTCTATTCCCTACTCTCTGATCCCAATCACCTTTACTGTTAAAACCATCCTTGGAAAAGGTACTCCACAGCTTTCCTTGACAACCAGAGGGAAATTTTGTCTGTGCCTTTTATTTATTTTATATTTATTTATTTATTAGAGGCGTAGTCTTGCTCTGTCACTTTGGCTGTGGTACAGTGATGCAATCTCGACTCACTGCCACCTCCACCTCCCAGTTTCAAGCAATTCTCCAGCCTCAGGCTCCAAAATAGTTGGGACTACAGGCATGGGCTACCATGCTCAGCTAATTTTTATATTTTTAGTAGAGAAGGGGTTTCACCATGTTGGCCAGGCTGGTCTCAAACTCCTGACCTCAACTGATATGCACGCCTCGGCCTCCCGAAGTGCTAGAATTACAAGAGAGAACCACCTTATGTGTGCTTTTTAAACACATAGAGGCCTTCATTTAATCAGCAGTCACCACTATCATATTGTTCTCACCCAAAGCCTTTGTGGTGATAAAAATTCATCTAGGAGTGAACTCACCAGTGAGTATAATGGTAAAATCCCAGCCACAGGCCACCTGTTGAATGGGACAGCCAAAGAGGGATTGGCAGGGGGTAAAATATGGGACATCCTCTGTGTGACCAAGCCCCAGTTGCCCATCTTTATTCAGGCCACAAACAAAGAGGTCCCCTCCATCTGCAAAATATAAAGGTGTCAGTGATAGTGTGCCCAAGGAAAAACACAGCTGCAAAGCAAACAAAAAGATTTCACTAATTATTTGGAGTCTCACACCAATAAATTTTTCTCCCATCCAAGTTAATAAGCTATGTATGTTCATGTATTCTGGAGCCAAATGACACAAGGCCAAGGGCCTTAAATCTAATAACTACATAGAAACTTCAATCAATCACCAAACTGAGCATCTACTAGAACAAAAAGCCAACATTTAGAATGCACCAGGTACTGTTTTAAGAGCTTTTGTGCAGGGCGGACTTATTCTGTAGGCATAGTGTCTAGCGCCTACAGTGCTTTTAGAGGCCCACAAGAGTGGCTTAATTTTTAGTTATTTTGAAATGAGAAAAAAAATAATGTAATAACAATGCATATTTAATACTAAATCTGGAGTGGATTCTATTAATATTCATCTTTATACCAACACAATTATAAAATATAATTTCATTTATTTACAAAGGAAGGGGTCCTTAAAGGCAAAAGCACCAAGGACCCATGACAGTCAGAATGGAGCCCTGCTAATTCACTGGTTCTCTTCATCCACCATTATTATCCTCACTAACAGATTCAGAAACTGTGGTTATTTGCCCAAGGCCACGTAGATAAGTAGTCATAGAACCAGGATCTAAACCTATACATTTGATGCCAGAGCTCATGTTCTTAACCAGATACAACATGCCCCCTTCACAACATTGTAGCACTTGTACTACTTGTTAGGTGCTAGCCTAGATACAGTAAGGGAAGATTAAGGGAAATACACAGTTTCTGCTCTTAAGAAATACCCAATCTAATTACAAACACCTCTAACTCCTATGGTGTAAAATATACATTGTAACTCTGCCACTAATTTGCCTTGTGATGTTAAACAATCAGTGTTTCTTTCTGAGTATCTTTGCATAATGGAGGAGGTCGGGGTAAGGGGTGGCCTAGAAGATCTCTGAAGTCCTTCTAGCCCTGACAATCTAGGATCCTCTGATGGTAACTGGCTCTTTCACAAAAATGTTTCACAAAAATATATTCTTTTCCTCTGCAAAATTAAAAAAAAAAAAAAAGGCTGAGAGATGGCAATATAATGTCCCGGGGGGAAATGTCTAAATAAGAAAATGAATGACTATCCACTTTTGAAGGAAGTTACCTGTGACAATTGCAGAATGGCCCCCTCCTCCTGTGATCCTCCTGATACACCTGGATTTACAGAAGTCATTCAGTTGCTGGGGCAATAGCACATCTTCCTTATGGCCAAGGCCAAGCTGCCCATAACTATTTGCACCCTAGGGATGAACAAGCCAAGGATGAAAAAGTGTGCGGACTGTAAGTATCAATGTCTACTTACCTGTCTCTATCTTTCTCACTCTGACATATCTTGCAGAGCCTATAACAGATGAGAATTTCTTAGGCCCTTTTTTTTTTTCTTTTGGTCCTTCATGGCAAATATAGCACTGTTTATTCAAATATATAATAACAAGCACTAGAAAACAACATGTAACACTCTCTCCCCACCCCTGATCTGCAATCCCATAAGTAAGAGACTCATAACCATAACAGTGGAGGAAATTCATGTCCAGGAAAGTTCCTAGGTAGGCTCCCTGACAGGCTTAATCTATTTAATGCCCTGCCTCTTGGCCTCCTGCAACAGCTGAAGAAACCACGTTTTTTCCACCTCAGGCCCCAGAAGGCAAAGGGGCAATGCCAGTCATGGCTAGAGAGGATATGAGTCCTATGAGGTACTTGGCCTAGCCCAATCCTCTGGAGGTAATAGGGTAAAGCAGCCCTTCCTTTTAGGGTGGCCATGAAAAGAGAGGCCATAGCCTAAATCAAGGCTCTTTTGACCAAGAATAACATAGCCTCTTGAGGAGGAGAGCCTTCTCTGCTCCAGAGAGGAATTCTGGGCTGCAAGTACTTGGCAGGAGTATCTCATATCTCTCTTTACCCCCTTCCCTCGCCACCTCACCTCCCATGACACTTCATGCTTTCCCTAGCTGAACTTCAGCCCCCAAATGAGAAAACCTATCCAGTACATTTCAAATAAATTATAAATATGGACAGAGAATCCAAACAAACTTCCAGAAGCTGCTCACAGACCCCTCACAGGGGCCAGCCCAAAGAAAAACCAAAGTCATTCCTTTGTTCTCTGTGTCTCTGGAGTTGTGAACAAAACTGTCTCCCCTTGTCCATGAGTAATCATGGGGACAGCTCAGGACAGAGAGGGTTTCAGACTTAGAAACTCTCTCACCCCATCTCCTTTCTGCCCTCCTCAAATCCCTTCCCCAAAATCTAAAATGAAAAATAATAATCATAATAATTCGCTCATTGAAGGACTCCGGAGCATTTGGGAATGTAAATCTTACCTCTCCCTTCTCAAGTGGGAAACTGACCAAAGAGGAAATAACTGGTTAGGCTCATTCTTAAGGGCTGTTACATGCAACCCATATTTAGATGGAAGCCCCATCCTCAGAACACCATGATTTCCATATGAGAAGAGTCCTTAGCATTCATAACTTACCCAGTGATATTTCTCATCTTTCCCTGCTTATGCGCCAGCCCCCACGTACTGCCTTTGGGAGATAGCACAGGAGTTCCTTCTGATAAAAAGCTAACTACCTAGGGAAGCTAAGGAAAGAAAAAAATGAGGGGAAAATGGCAACAAAATGGGAAGGAAACAACCTGGAATTTGTTCTTGTTCCTCTTCCCCACACCCTCACTGGGAAAACTGGCAATGACTCTGGAATCAAAGCTGGCTAAGGATTTTGTGCCTTAAAGCAAGGCACAGCATTATTTCATTTGTAGTGAAAGAGGTTGACAATGATCTCTAAGGGCCATTCCTAGTACAGTGCTGTGTGACTCCAAGATTCGCATGGTGAGATTCCAGAAAGGGAACAGATTTCCCCTTGACGGGCAATATGTCTATTATTATTATACAATAAAGGTCCATAATCCCTAATCTCAGATTAGGTTAGAATCTAACCCAATTTCAGATTCAGAATTTTACAGCTTTTAGAAAAGTAATACAGTACATATGTCATATATACTGACACAAGGTCCAGGGACAGCAGCCCATAAGCAAAACAATAGTATTTCTGCATTAAAAAGTACAAATATTCATAAGAAGTGGCCAAAGACTATAAATGGCCTTATGTCCAGTAAGTTGTGGGTTTTCAGAGTTTATGTATTCAGAATTGAAGATAAGGGATTGAGGACCTGCAGAGAGAATCTTACTAAGCCTTCAGAAATTCTAATTTATTCAAGTATCTACTCCTAGCTGGTTCTTCCTGGAGAAGAGAAATAAAATCTTTTACATATGTTTGTTTTTGAAGACACCTGAATGAGGAAAGGTAATGTAAAATAATTATAAAAAATACACACATACATACAAAATCCTTCCCCCTATAGTCTATTTCATGGCCATCCTGGGCTGCAAGGGCTCAAAGATGGAAGAGTAAGCCATGGCAGGGACATAAGTCCCAGAAGCTCATGGGGGCAATATTAGCTACCAATTACTGAGTGCTTCTCTCCACACTTTGCATTCACCTTTAATCTTCACAACAACTAAGAAGGACATTATCACTCCCATTTTACAGAGGAAGACACTGAGGCTCAGAGAGGCTATGGAACTTTCCATAGTTACATCTGCGTAGGCAACAAGTCAGATGCCCTGCTCCTTTCACGATACCTTACTGTGTCTCTTAAAAAAAGAAAGAAAGAATATATGGTGAAACAGCCCAGAGCTTACCTGGCAGGAGGTTAACTGGTGACTTCATCTAAAATAGCATCCCCATATCACTCATTTTCTACTTCATTTTTCTTCATGTCACTTCTTGATGTTACATTATATATGTTTACTTGTTTACTGTAAACCTCCCCTTTGAGAAACTAAACTCCAGGAGGGCAGGAACTCTGCTTTGCTCACTGCTATTTCCCCTGCATATGAAACTGTGCTAGCCGAAAGAAGATGTACATATATTTACATGGGGAATGAATGTAAGACTATGAAAGACTATTGCTCAGCATGAAGGGGAATATAGAATATGCATGCACAGGATTTCTTGGTCAGCCCTGAGATCTCCGTGGCTGTCCCATTACCAGGGGTGCAAGGCTGCTGAACACATGGGAGAAAAGTACTATGACACATGGGCACTCTGAGGTTCAAATTATGGTACCAATTTTTGTGATACTGCAGAGGCCCTAAATTCAGGATAAAGCAAGACAAAGTAAAATTTAATACAACCAATTACAACTGTTATTAGCCTTTCTTCCTTACAAACACTCCAGACATATCACATATGCACACATGCACACACACACACAGACACACACCTCACAAGGTAAATCCCCTTCTTGTGGACTGAACTTTATTCCCCCAAAATTCACATGTTGAAGCCCTAATCTTTCCAAATACTACTGTATTTGAAGAGAGGGCCTTTAAAGGGGCAGTTAAAGTTAAATGAGGTCATAAGGGTGGGGCCCTAATCCAATATGACTGGTGTCCTTACAGGAAGAGACACCAGGGATGCTCACACACAGAGAAAAAGCCAGGTGAGGACACAGTGAAAAAAGCCATGTGAGGACACAGTGAGAAGGCGGCCATCTGCAAGCCAGAGAAAGGCCTCGGGAGAAACCAAACCTACTCAAACCTTGATCTTGGCCTTCCAGTCTCCGGAAATGTGAGAAAATAAATGTCTGCTGTTTAAGCCTCCGTTGTGTGGTATTTCGTTCTGGCAGCCCTAGCGAACCAACACACCCCCGCCCCAGTTTCAGATTATGCAGCAGCAAAAAACACACCACCAAGCCTCCAAACACAGCAGTAGGGTGACGTTCAACAATCTATTAAACATATTTTAAAACCTCTAATATTCGGCCTTGTCTGTATTAAAACAATTATTTCTCTTTCAGTACAGACAAGACCGAATATTAAAAGTTGTTTCTGTCCGATGTTTCCTCTATCTACATAGACGCCAGTCTCCTGCCTAGAAAATTCGATCCCCAACTCCACTCCTAGCTCCCGGGCCACCTCAAAGACGCTCAGCCAGTCAGACTACTGCAGGCCACACCATGCTCTCTCCCTCCTGCCAAACTGCAGCCCCACATTCAACAAGTGCTCACCTTTACTGATCATGACATCTTTAAAAACTGGTCAGTTAATACTGATTTTTACAGCAATACCAGTTATAATTTTGCTCTCCCCAGCACAGGAGCTGGAAGTCTTTTCACTCATGTGCATTTCCCAAACCACCAGCACATGGCTAGGCACAGATATGCTCCTTCATTCATTCGTCAACAGGTATTTACTGGGGACCTTCAATGTGCCAGACACCAGGAGAGGCACTGGCACAGCATCCACTCTTAGCACACTTACTTTCTAGCCAGGGAGATTGACGTTAATAAGAAATTATACACATCATTACAACTGTGATACGTGCTATGAAGCAGCACAAGACGCAGCAACTGCTTGTTCCCGTGCATGCCGGTCGGCTGCCTTGTACACTCCGGTGCACTAACCCTCGTCTCTCCCGGACACACATCAATCAGGATGACCCTGTCTCTCCCAATGCTCCCGTCAAACCAACAGCAACCCAACTCCCGCAAGACAGGCAAGAACTGGTCACAGCAGAGTATCAGCAAATAGGCAGGGTCTGTGCGGTGTGCGCGGCCAAACACCGCAGGCTCACAACCAAAGGATGTTCTCGCCAGGCTGGGACACGGCCTCCATCCTCCAGGCATCAGGAGGGTGGGGAGCACAGGTGTCCCCACGGGGCTCTGGGACCCGGCGATCCTCTCCACCGAGCCCGCCGCGAGGTCTTCCAGGAGCTATCCGGGCAGAAGGGCTCTTGCGGAACCAGAGGCTCAGCCCCAAGGCAGGATGGCCCCGAGGCAGGTTCTTCCCGGCGCCACAGCCCGTACGTCCCCGACCCCACCAGCCCGCAGGCCCCTAAATCGACCGCGAAGACCCTTCCCTCCCTGCCCGCTCCTCCTCCGCTCCCAACCCAGGAGCCTCCCACCCGGAACCCGACTCGGACCTCGGCCACCCAGCCCCTGAACTGCCCACGCCAAGGCCGGGAGCTCCCAGGTCCCGGCGCCCCTCAGAGTCGGCCCGGGCCCGGGGGCGGAGTCACGTACCCAGGCGAAGAGCGCGGCCGCCACGGGGGCGGCCTCTGAGGCGCTGGGCTCGCGCTCCATGCGAGGGCGCTCGATGCGAGGACGCTCCGCCGGCGCTTCCGGGAGGGATCGCACGGGGGCGGGGCCTGTCGGGGACTGGTGGGCGCGGGAGCCCCTGGCGCGGGGACCGGACCGGGGACGCGGGATCGCGTGGGTGCGGGGCGGGGTCTGTGGTGCGAAGGGGCCCGCGGGCCTAGAGAGGAGGTGCGGCCGCGCCCTCCGGCCGCCGGGGACCAGTGACGAGCGGGGCCGGACGACAGCCCCGGAGCCGCCTCCCAGTGGGCCCGCCCCGGCGCGCTCTCAGCGTCCCCACCCGCAGCCTCCTGTCGCGCTGGGCCGCTCAGCCTCTCGCTCCACCCCCTCGTACTCTTTATTTTTAGTCATAATTTAATGTTGCATGCAGGTGCACTGCGCGCCACAGTTCACAAAGCTCCTTCCCATTTTTGTCTCCTTGGAGTCCCACCACAACCCAGAGGGGCTGACAGGGCAGGGATGGCATCACCATTTGCGGGAGCAGGAAATGGAGCCTGAGGGGGCGGGCAGGGTCCTGCGCGGCGTCTCGGGCGCAACTGTCTAGAGCCCGCTTTGGTCTCAGTTCACAAACATCTGAGGGGGCGCCTTGGAAGGCGAGCTGAGTGGCACGTCGCGAGTGTCGCCCTCTACACCTGGCATGGAGCGAGAACTCGCGTCTCGAGACGCTGAATACCGGAGACTGGTTAGCGTCGACTCCTGCTGGGGCAGCCTCGGCGCTCTGGGCAAGGCCCTGGGCTCATTTTATTAATACTGGATAACTTTCACCCAACGAACATTTCCATATAAAATGGCTTTTCCGAGACAGCGTCGTGTTGCTGGTGGGAGTTAAATAAGTTCAATTTACCTGGGGGAAACTATGGCACTGCCTATTGGGAATACAGAACACATGGGGTCACATTAAAGATGATCATCCACATTCGTAGCCCTTGGCCCCTCTGCTGACACGCCTCCAGCACTCACCACCCTTCACGCCTTGGCTTGTGGGAGGTGTCTTGAGTGAGCTCTTACCTTCTCCTTTCCTGTTCTTTCACTCCACCAACCCTAAGAGTTTCTGCCTGTAAGACCACTTGAAGGCAGCCCCTCACCTTTACCTCTCCAACCTGTGGCATCTGGTGAATGTTGATGATCATACCAAGAAAAAGGCAAACTTTGGAGAGACAAAACAGGTCTTCATTCTCTAGGGATCTGAATGTGCAGAAGCTATACCATGCTTGCTGACTGTCTTACAAGTGGGCTTTTTTGTGCTGACCATTTCTTTTGAGCATATGTAACAGGATATAAAAATGGGACTCTTCCCCGCTGTTTTGGCTGAGCAACAAGTGAGTTATTCCTATATCATAAAGTAAGGTGCAAGACCACCAAAGCAGGACTTGCAAAGCAGCTGTGTAGAAACCAGTGTATGACTTTCATTCTATGAAAAAGGTCGAGAGGCCAGAAAGAATTGTAGTAGGATATATGGCCACAATTATCAATGTGATGTGGGTCTTACCATCTCATGTCCAAGGAAAGGTACTTCAGCTGGGTCCCTGAGAGAGCTTGACATGCATCCCTCTAGATTAGGACCTTGGCAGGCTTCTGCCCAATCCATGCTGAGAAATACAAGGGCTTGTGGCTGGATATCTGCTCTAATAGCTGAGCAAAGAGACTGATGCTTTGGGGAGGTCTTTCACACCCAGTTTTTCAAAATAAAAACTGTCCATTTCCCATGTATTTCCTATACTCAAGCAAACTGGCTGGGGGATGGCCTTAGACCTTGTCCAAGGGAATTTCTGAAAGGGTGAAGTGACACCCACAAGAGAGTGATCACTAGATTCCTTGAGGGTGAGGGAGATGAATTTAACGACCCAGAGAGATACATTTGCCCACATCAAGAGATCCCAAGAAATAAGAAGGTGGGAAGGTCTTCCAAAATGCCCACAAGAAAATGCCAGCATGAAATACTTAACCAAGTTCAGAAAGCACTGATGCCAACTCACAACAGTATCAGACCAAAAAGAACTTTCCTCCTTCTTACTTCCTCCTGTCTACTTCTCCCCAACCCAGTTCTAGAGAAGAAAAAAAGCTTCAACCTTAAAGTTTGTTTTTTAAAGTTTTTCACAGGACTAGCCCTTTTAAATATTGAAATGAGAAAGTGTGTGTGTGTGTGTGTGTGTGTGTGTGTGTGTGTGACAGAGAGAGAGAGAGAGAAATGGAAATTAGAAGCTAAGGACTTTTTATTACCGGTGCAAGCAGAAAAGTCGAGGCAGCAACCTAAGATTTCACCCAGAGGGGCGAGGAAGAACTACCTACAGAGCCAGTTTTAATAGAGGGTCTGGGAGAACGTAGTTGTTCTCTGACTTCACCCCTTGAATGTACAAGTATCAATACTTTAACTAACCTACAGTTACAGTATCATGTTAGATCCCTTAATATAATTTATTGGAAGTGTTGAGATGTTGCAACTATTTCAACTATGTACTCACCACTGCCTAGTTCTTCCCATAAGCAGCCTGACTGAATTGCAGTTTCTGAATGGGACTAGATTTAAACCACTTAATGGCTTCAATTTCAGATGCCTTGTCTCCTTGAAAGAGGAAAGTATAAAGAATTTGGGAACATACAGACTGCATCTCTGTACTGTAAATGTTAGGAAATTTTTCCCATTGGATTATTTCATTTGATTGTCCCAATAACACTAGTATGGTAAGTGCTGTTAGAAGTATTATTTTATTTTATATTATTTTTGTTTTTTTGAGGCAGGGTCTCCCCCTGTTGCCCAGGCTGGAGTGCAGGTGGCATGATAATGGCTCACTGCAGCTTTTGCCTCCTGGGCTCAAATGATCCTCCCAACCTCCCAAGTAGCTGGGGCTACAGATGTGAGCTACCTTGCCTGGCCAGGATCATTATTTTATTAATGAGAAAACTGAGGCTCAAAGAAGTTATTCCAGGTTAGTTGTCTACTTTTGATAAAGGAAGATTAGCTAGCTGTATACCTATTCTCTCATGAAAAAGAACTAGAAAAGTTGACAGAAAATATTTTTTAAATCTGTTTCAAGTCGTTGGAGAGCTATCAAAGCAGCAAGAACTTGAAGGGCCAAGATCTGGAAACTGAGAGATTATATTTGGCACTACTTTTCTCCTTGAAGCACTTGCTAATTATAAGCAATGTCTTGGAGGCTAGGAAACTGGGCTGAAATCAGCACTGAGAAGCTGAGCAGTAATTCCAGTAATCTCATAGGGTAGGGATGGGAGGTGGGGATGGTGAATGTGAAGGAGGGGACAAAAGTAGGAGTCCAGAGCCCCCAAGGAGAACCCCTGGTACACACTCATAGCTTTCACTTGGGATCCCCAAAGGGCTACACCCTAAAAGTCAAGGTAAACTGGAAATAGACCAGGCCTCACAAAGACTGAAGTTCAGCTTCTCTTTCACTCAATCCCTAATTGGACTAAGACTTTACCGTGCTATTGTATATTACCTACTAGAAGCAAAAAGTAATCCCCTCTTGTGAAAGATAAAATCATCCAGAAGCTAAGGGGGAATATCTGTTAGAAGAATGATTGTATTAATAACTATTTATGTGTGGAAAATGAGGAGTTTTTTTACAAAATCCTCTTGCAACATAATTTCTTCAATAATCCAATGTAGACTTAGTTCATTTTACAGATGAGGAATGTAAACCAAAAATAAAATTCGAAGGCCCCCCAACCAACCGAATGGACCTTCTTCTAGGCAGGATGCTCTAAAATTTAACCTGAAAGACCCATTGAGGCCATAACTGGATGTGGGGTCACATACATGCCTCATTATATCTCTTCAGCACTAATATCAACACAGACCTTTAGTCTGATGAGAAACAGTTACAATCTATTCTCTCAGAAGCCTGCCATCTGGAGGCTTCATGTGCATGATAAAACTTTGGTCTCTGCAACCTTTTACAGCATCCCAGACATTTCTATTAATTGCCAAGTAGAAAAATTTAAAGCTACCTATAATCTGTGAGCCTCCAACCCAACACTTTTGAGTTATCCCAGCTTTCTGGACTCAGCCAATGTATCTTATAAATGTATTTGATTGAAGTCTCATGTTTCCCTAAAATGTACAAAACCAAGCTGTACCCTTATGACCTCGGTCACATGTTCTGAAGACTTCCTGAGGGCTGTGTCATGAGCCATGGTCACTCATATTTGGTTCAGAATAAATCTCTTGAAATACTTTACAATGTTTGACTCTTTTCGTCGGCAGGAACATGCAACTGAGACTTTACCAAGAACTCTGAAAAGTGGTTACCAGGTTCCAGATGTGTTTGGCTTCTATCTCATATTCATAGGCCTTTTAAGAAGTATAAAGACATAACGGATTTCTTAAACTAATCAAACTGCTAATATAAGTTTAAGTCAGTTTTTACTGTATGTTTGAAAAAAGTAAATACTGGTTGAGAACATAAATTTTGTGTTCATTTATTATCCCATTGAATAACAAACTTGTAAATCATAAATGTATAGTACATAGTAAAACAAAGACTAGACTAAAATAGACCACAGTATCTTAAACACTTTCTAGGAATTAATATATGGACTCTATTATAGATTCCTTTACAGAATTCCTGGATTTTTTTTTCTTTTTTAATTTGGAAGCCAACTTAAAAATTGACAACAATTAAGTGTATTTTGGTATGTCCTTACTACTTGTATAACTCCAAATGACAAAATATGTAGGTAAAGAAATGCAGGCATTCTGAAGACCAGCTTTTGAGCATCCTTAAAAAGTCAGTAGGATATTAACTGTGTCTTTGAATAATGATTCACTGATAAAGAATTATAAACCAACTGGGCATGGTGGCTCACACTTATAATCCCAGCATTTTGGGAGGCCAAGGTGGATTACCTGAGGTCAGGAGTTCGAGCCCAGCCTAGCCAACATGGTGAAACCCATCTCTACTAAAAAAACAAAAATGAGCCAGGCGTGGTGCCTCATGCCTGTAATCCCAGGTTGCAGTGAGCTGAAATCACACAACTGCATTTCAGTCTGAGCAACAGAGTGAGGCTCTATCTAAAAAATAAATAAATACAATTATGAATGAAGCTTTTAGTTCAATTCTGTTCTCACATTTGGGTAACTATTTACATATTCCTAGATGCTTTGAAGACATATATTTAAAATGCATGAAAATTCTAAGACTCTCAGGACTCTTGATTTACCAAATATCACAAATCCCCAGAGGTTAGAAGAACTGAAATCTGTCATTAAAAATTTCCATTGTTCTGAAGTTGTGAATTATATGGTTCTGTTTTTAACATTTATTTTCATGTGCTTTAGTCAGTGATTTTAAACATCGTTATTTTAAAATTCAATAAGTATGATTCTTCACCATGATGAAAATTGTATAAAAATAATTATATATAGTATGCATAATTTGTGTTATTTGCTATCTATTTTTTACTTTCTTTTTTTCTACATATTCTAAGATTTGCTATCTATTAGGATTTGCTTACGATAGATTTCCTTGCAACCAAACTATAAACCAGCTCATCAATATTTCAAATGATTCCAGATTCACTAGCATCTGTTTACCATCAAACATATACTTAAGAATTGATTAGCTATTAAAAGTATAAGTAATGTAAAAATTTAAAACAACATGAATTCATCTTTCAACTTATATTTACTTATATAATATGACATGAAATACAAAGTTTTAATAATTTATTTTGAGGTCTAAGAAGTACTAAAAGATCTAGTAGTCTGTTGAAATAAAGCATGTTAAATGGTGTACAATTTATGTGGAAAAAAAGCATAGTTTTTTTAAGTAGGTGATTATGCCTGAAAATGATTGTAAATATGATGTTTAACATATCATTCATGGAAATTAAATTACTGGGAGAGGAAGCTGATGGAGCATGATATTCAAGTGATTCCGAGTTCCTATACAGACATGGTCAATTTGAGATACATGGCAGAGCTACCATATTATACAACCCCTATTCATTCTATGTGGATGGTGTCACATGAAGTTGTACAGCATTGGCCTAAATTATGATACATCTACAGGGACATCCAGGAATTCGCTGGAATTAAGAGGAAAAAAAAATTCAAGAAAGATGTCAGGGTTATAACTGCAAATGAAGTAGTCATTCAAAATAAGAACTGAAGTCATATATCTGGATGACATTCCCCATGAAAAGATAGCAAAAAGGGAAGAGGTCCAAAGACAGAAACTTGAAGAACATCTTCATTTAGAAGAGGAATGGGGCAAATTAAAGAGACACAAGCTTGTATTTTGGAGTCCAGCTTCACCCATTTATAACAGGACTGCTTACTCCCTGTGCTACACAGCTGACTCTGCATAAAAACCAGTCCTTGAAATCCTTACATTACTTACAGTCTCAGTCCCAAACTGCTCTTCTTGACCTTTCTGACATTTATTTCCTCCCCTTTTCTGTAGATTCTACTTTCACTGCATGGCTTCCTGTTTATGGCCTCACCTTATACCTTAGAAATAAAATACTCAGCACTGTTTTTCTATCTTTTACTTTGCACTTCTCTCATCTATCTCAGTTTGAACTCTCCCTTTGATAGCAATGCTTCCTGTTTCTGGGGACAATCCCATTATGATACCTAGGACCACATGTCTGAGTAAAGCCCCATGCAAGTCGCATTTCCACTAAGTTTCCCTTGGACCCATCAGTAGGATAGATAGTCTAGAATAAAACCAGTATCATGTGATGTCATTGAAAGAAAACAAAGTTTCCAAGAAGATAGTTACTTGGAAAAGGGCTCCCTAGTGCCAAAAAATAAAGTCTCAAATTCATAGCCTGGTCTTAATGATTATGCCCCAATCAAGCTTTCCAGGCTTAGCTACTCCTATTTCCCTACAAGACACTACACTTGAAACTAGACTACTTGCTCTTTACTAGGTATGCTCCATGTACAAAGGTCTCTATGCTTTTGCTCCTGCTGGCAACAAAGACAGCTGGTCTCCTATTAAATTTTATTATGTGAATGTGATTGAGCTTGACACAAATTCAGCAATAAGTAACAGATACTTCAGAAATAAGGGGATCTCAGGTAACAATATGAGTCAGTGCTGTAATACTCCTCAAGTTATTGTAAAGGATCATAAAGAGTCATTTTACTCAAGAAGCATTGGGGAAAATAGAGTTAGGCTGAGACTAGATCTATCTATTGGGTCAAATGACTTCTCTATTAAAAATGGGTGGTCAGTGACTTGTATGGTAAACAAATTGTCTCGTTGAAGCTGTTACCAAAAAAAGAAAACTAAACAAAAAAAAGTGGTAGGTAGAATATCCAGATACAAATTTTCAAAGACTAGCGATTCATTAAGGAGTGGGATTTGATAACATTGTTTGCCAGAAGATGCTGTCCCTCCAGGATCAGGTTTTCAAGAAAAGCAAGAGATGCAGAAAACTAAACACTACACGTTCTCACTCATCGGTGGGTGTTGAACAATGAGAACATGTGGACTTAGGGAGAGGAGCATCACACACTGGGGGCAGTTGCAGGGGGGTAGGGGAGGGATAGCGGAGGGTGGGGAAGGTGGGGAGGGATAACATGGGGAGAAATGCTGGATATAGTATACACCTAAAGTAAAATTTTTTAAAAAGAAAAGGAAAAGCAAGAGATGGCCCAGAGGCCTCCAAGTTGATGCTGAAATGGTCCTGGATTAGGACTGGCTACTGTTAGATACTTGGCTTCCTGCTGACCTTAGCAAGGGCGTCACTGACAACATCAAGATCATGCTGCAGCTCATTCATGGCACTGGTTATGCTCTTGGTGTCTTTCAGGATCTGAATACTCCGTGTATATGGATTATACTTCACTCCAAATGGACGCTTAATTGTTTTGGTAAATTCTCTATTTAAGAAAACAAATGAGAGACGATCAATTTATAGGGGGTGAATGATGAAAATTGAACAAACATCAGAACCTATTTCACATACTAGGCAAAAGACAAATCTTTGTGAGATATGCATGCAACCAATCTGACCTACTCCTCTACACTGCATTTGCAGAGGCCCCCTGGAATCCCAAGCAAGTGCGAAACCTAAAGTAGTTATAATTATTTTATAACTATATAAAACAGTCATAGAGTTATAAAATAGCTATAACTACTTTAGGTTATAAAGTAGCTGTAAAACCCTGGCATTACTAGGGAATGATTCCATAAATTGATTAATCATTTATTAATGTATACGTCTCTTGACTACAGTAAAGAGACCAACTACTGTAGTTTTATCAGTAGACACAAAACTGTTTCATTACAACACTTGACCACATAGTAACAATCATGCCTTATATAACTATCTATACTTACCTACACATGTAACCTGTGTGTTTATCTAACATATAACACATACAGACACACATATATTCACACACCCCAAAATAGACTAGGAATGGTCTTACTCTGTGCATATGTATATTTTTTCTGCTTAGAATGTTTCCCTCTAGGCTCCTTTCAAATGACCTAAATTCTGCCCTTTTTTCAAGCATTAAGGTTCTGCCTCCTTTATCAAACTATTGTTTGAACCTCTCATTTGGAGCCCCCAAGAACAATCATGTTCAGGACTCCTAGTGATAAACGTGCAGCTGAGGACAACTGTACGTGAGTAGCAGCTGAAATCCAACTCATAATCCACCTGGTCTACACGGAGGTGACCCCCTTTTCTAATTTGCATAAAGGTCCTATTTATGCTAGAGGAATCCCTGATAGTATTATTATTTGGTTTAGTAAATGGCCTAACTCCCCAACTAGTGGCTGCTCTGGAAGACAAGGACTACTACTTCAACCCCTATCTATCCCCATCATCACAATGTGACCTCATGACCCTTCCACTCAATGTTGCCTCATTGATTCTGCTTTGAAAGTCTTTGCCTTTCCTACTACTTCTGTCTTAGTTCAGGCATTTGTTTTCACCTGAAGTGTTGCAAGAATCTTCTAAAAAGTTTCTCTTCCTCCAATATTCACCTTTCTTAATCACACACTTAGCTGATTAATAAAGTGTAGTCTTTGATTGAGTTGAACTTATCTCCTATATTTTTCAACATATTGACCCTTTTTTCATGCTATCTTGCAGCCTAAAATTTAATATATCTAAATATTATCTATCCTTCAAGTCCTTTCTCAAATAACATTAAGATTACCCCGTTCATCCAGCTGAAATGAATTGCTCTTGAATAAAATGCAGAACAATGTTTCATCTGTATTTCTCCAAGGCTCTTGACACTTTCCATGTTGTTATATGGTAATTTCCATATAATTTACTTTCCCTATTAGACTACTAAAATCTCTGATTGGAAGAATAGGAAAGAAAATAACTTCGCAATGTATCTGATTCATATTTGCAACTATGCAAAATCCTTATACACAACATACTCTAGATACTTGGTATGAAAGGAAGATGTGTTACAGACAGAAGGCTCCTTGTGGGCTTAAATTATCTAGCTGCTTACTTCTATGACCTGTTACCATTATGGGGCTGATCTTTCACTGAAGAAAGTGGAGGCATGAAGAAGATGCACCGTACCTCATCTTCTCCTTTGCATCTTCAAAGCTTTCAGATACAAAGTAGACATCCTGAAAAGTTGTGATAAGACATTCCTGTTTGCAGGTAATCTTGGGATCAAAGGGCTTTACTTTGGCATTTCCAGAAAGTGCATGCTAGAAGACAAAGAGTCAGTGAATAAAGAATAATCCCTATTTTCATAGATCATGCAACTTCCATAATTGGCACACCTCTAACATATTACTAATGCAATGGCCCCAATCTACAATTCCAAACGTATTTCCTATAGCTCTATTCAACCCACAGTATACTTCAGCAGAAGAAATGACTTGCTCTTCCCTGTAAATGCCCCCAAGATAATCTCCGTGGCTTTGGTCTTCCTCTCTTCTTTGTGTAAAAGGCATCCAAGGATCTTTATTTACTTATCTGCATTATGGCACCAACTATCTACCCAGCACAAGTTATTCCTATATATGACTTATATACCCACCAAGTGTTCCCTGAAAGCAAGACAGTACCTTGGATAGTGTTTCACACACATTCATTACTCAACAAACATAAGTTTATTTATTCATTGGATAAATAATAAATCTCAAAGAATTCCCTAGAAATTATAGAAGTTATTGCTGGCATATCAGAAATGGTGAGGAAACAGCAAGATTTTGTAAGCAAAGGCTTAAAAACACTATTTACTTTAAACGTATTGTAATATAGCATTTCATATATATCAGAAATATATCAAAATATTTCATGTGTGTGTGTATTACTAACGCAATGGCCCCAACCTACAATTCCAAACTCATTTCCCATAGCTCTATTCAACCCATAGTATACTCGAGCAAAAGAAAGCTTGCTGTTCCCCATAAATGCCCTGATAAAATTCTGATATTATATACATTTAGATTATATAATAGATAATTGGGAAATAGAGAAAAATACATTCAGGTAATGATTAGTGACAGCCCCAAATATTTTCCATAGTAAGTTCTTGTTCAAAACCAAAAACTATTTCAGGTTTTATCAGTTAAATTAGGTGAATATAGTTACATGCAAAGATTTACAACTCTTACTTTGAGTTCACTGATAGAAGAAAGTAAGCCAGCACCAAAGACTCTTAGCTGTCCATCTTGTTTACATAGACCAAACTCCACAGTGAAAAAGTAGCACTGAAAAAGAACATCAATATTATTCTCACATGCTGAAGAATTACACTTAAACAAATCACAATTCTTAGTCACTGACCCAAAGTACCCCAGAACAAAGTCTAAAATCCCAGTCTAGTTCACAAGTCTTTCTACAATCTGAACTCATTCTAACCTAGTACTTCCCAAACTTCTGTCCTCATGACTTTTACATATTATTAAAAATTAGAGGGCCCCAAAGCTTTTTGTGTGTGTATATGTGTGGTATCACTAGCTATATTAGTCATATTAAAAATTAAAACTGAGGGGAAATGCTTGTTAATTAATTTTAAATTTTAATACACTCATTTTTTGGTAACATAATAATGCTAATAAAAATAATTATATTATACAACACAAAAAAGTAAGAAAAGTAGCATCACTTTACAATGTTATAAATCCTTTTAATGTCTGGCTAGAAGACAGATGGAGTCTTATATCTGCTTCTGAATTTAACCTTTTGGGATATACTGTTTGAGTACATGAGTTACATCAGCTTCATGTGGTTTCTAGTTAGAAAAGGGTTGAATATTTTAATAGCCTTTTCAGAGAATTGCGGGAATTCTTGTTTTATTCTGCATGAAGACTTAACAAGTGTGTAGAATTTCTTAAAGTTCAACTGCAATGCGGAATCTGAATTATGTCAATGAACTGCCCGTTTCATTAAAATCCACTGTGCACTTTGAATGGATCTTTTATTTAGGCATGATTTTGACCTCAAGGACCCCATGAAAGAATCTCAGGGACCCCAGGGGTCCCCAAACCACAGTTTCAGAAGCACTGTTCTATTTCTCACTGCCTTCTTCATCCTGGGACAGTCTGCTCCTGCTTCTCGCTGTTTCCCCAGACACACCAAGCACCTCCTTGTCTTTCCTTGTGTGCCCTCATCCTGAGATGCCTTTCCCTCCTTGCTCAGCACATCACTCATTTTCCATCAGCTAATCCAGATGTCTCTTCCAAGAAACCTTCACCAAGTTCTCCATGCTCCCAGAGCAATCTGTTAACTTTGCTATAGGCTATCTCATTTGAACATAACTGTCTCCTCAAATGGTATATAAGTTCCTTAAAGGTAGAAACCAGGCCTTAGTCATCTTTGTATTTCCACCAGTGTCTTGTCCTAGCAGTCAAAAACATTTTAGCATAATTTTAATAAAACCTATCCTTTTTATTGGAAAATAAAAAATAGATAACCCATTATAGTAATCTTATTTTTCTCTTCCTTTTTCGAAGCTCGTGTCTCCTTTTGATAAACCTTAAAATTTTACATACTTCTTTAATCTAATTTGAATTAAATTAAAGATTATGAGCAAAACCAAATTTTCTTTTCTTTTCCTTTCTTTTCTCTTCTCTTTCTTTACTCTTTTCCCTCCCCTCCTCTCTCCTCCCCTTTTCATTTCTTTTTCTTTTTTCTTTTCTGACAGAGCCTCACTCTGTTGCCCAGGCTGGAGTGCAGTGGCACAATCTTGGCTCACTGGAACCTCCAAGCTAAGACAAATTTTCTAATGGTCATTCTGGATATTTACTTTTAAACTATGCAGATACTCAAACACCCTATCCCAGGTGAGAATTACTGATGTATACAGTTATTTCCAGATTTATACCGTTGCCAGTTTTTGAACAGCCTCCTCTGAAGCTCCAAGAGAAGCCAAGCCAATTTCTTGGGAGAATTGGGCAAAACTAGGTTCAGCCAAAAGCGGGACATGACCTAAGAGTTCATGGCAGGTATCTCTGAAATAAAGGTACAAGTTTGTCACACTGCAGTGCTTAACATAAGTGTATAATCAACCATTCAATCAAATTCAAATCCAATATTCTACAGATTTTGGTTCAATAAACAATTTTGGTTCAAAACCTTGGCCACTCACAGACACACACACGTAAGTGCATATCAGATACCTCTGGACACCCAGGTGCCACCTCCACCCTCCAACCCCACCACATACATACCCAAATCAGATCTCTGCTCAAATATCACCTTCTCAGCAAGGCCTTCCCTTGAGCACCCCTTTCAAAACAGCAACGCACACGCACTCCCACCCACCTACACACTCCTTCGTCCCCTTTCTCAGCTTTATTTTTCTCCATGGCACTCGCCACCCGATGCAACATTTGCATATGTTTACTTGTTTGTTTATTATTTGTATCCTTCACTGGAATAGAAGCCCTATGCAGGCAAAAATTTTTGTCTGATTTTTTTCAGTGTTACATCTCCTATGCTCAGAATAGCAGCTAGCACCTAATAGGTTTTCAATTAATAATCATAATGGCTAATACATATAAAGTATGGGACTTGTATTTCATGCCAGGCACCATTCTAAAAGCTTCACATGTGCAATTTATTTAATCCTCACACACCAAAAAACCCCATAAGGTAGATGCCATTATTATAAATAACTATTTGATGAATTCATGGCTGAAACAGAAGTACTTACGGCTCTGGGGTATAGAAGGGATCTGAACTGTGTCTCACGTATTGAGTGCAGTGAAAAACTCGAAAGGCTAAACCTGATAAGAAATCTCTTGGTGATAAGTAACCAGCTACAGGACGGATAGAAAAACCTGTACGCTCTGCAAAGCAAAGGAGAAAAAGAAAATCTTTACCAGAATAGACCCCTGACTGTAGCATTTTGGTTCTGCCAGTGGCACCAAGTAACACTTTGATGGAGGACATGAAAACTAAAATTTATCATATGCATATTAAGGGGAACTAATCATTATTAGGCACTTGCTATGGCCAGGCAATGAGTCAGATCTTTTACATATCACTTCTCCTTTCATGAGTTAAGGATGTTTCTCCTTATTGTTACAACTATGAAATGGAGGCTCAGAGACTCAATAATGTGCCCAAGTCCACACACTAGTTGATAAAGGTAGGAGTACTCAGATCTCCTCATGCCATACAACACTTTGCTGTCTCCCTAAAGGGTTTATACTATCTCCTAGATAATCTTCTTTTTGTAAAAACTGACTAACAAGACATATTCACTTAAATCAGAACGATTTTGAAGCTGTGCTATTTTTAGCCAGTACCATCTCTTTTAAAATAGTCCCTTTCTTTTAGCTAAACTGGATAGTGCTCTTCCATCTCCCAACAGCCAAGACTGCATGAATACTGTAAAAGAGGCCTGCCATTAGGATTCAATGGCTTGGGAGACCTCTGTGGGCTCCAATCTTGCCGTTCATTCCAAACCCTCACAACTCTGGTATGCCAGTTCCATCCAGCTCTGTTGTATTTGGAATGCTCCCCTTCTGATGGGCAGACTGCACTGTCCAGTAAAAGTGTCCATAGTGATAGAAATGTTCCATATCTGTGCTGTCCAATAAGGCAACTACTAACCACGTGCAGCCATTGAGCAGTTGAAATGTGGTTAGTGTGACTGAGGAACCAACCTCTTGATTTAAATTTATTTTAGTTATTTAAATTTTAAACAACCAAATATGTATAGTGTCTACCATATTTGATAGTGCAGGTATCCCCTTCCAACTTTTACACTTACAAATTTTGTAAGTGGTTTCTATAAAAACTAAATGTTTGAAAAATAGTGATGAAGGATGCTGATGAAGTTGTACCATCAAATTTGCATGAGATTTGGAGGAAATGTTTTGTTATGAATACAAAACTGAAAGCTGTTCACTTAGGGTTTGGTACCTGGGCTGGCTGCAGAATGTGTTGCTGAAAATGCTTCAAGGTAGATTTTTTTTTTAAGTCTATGTGAGAAACTCAAAAATAGCAATTTCAGACTATGATGGAAATAAACTAAACTCTTCAGTCACAGCCTAACTTCTTTGTTTTCCTCTGCTATGGTAATCTGCAGAGATGTCTACTGAGATAAAAGGGAATGTTTGCACTTGTTAAATATTGTAAGCCCTTAGAGATAGATCACTGTTCATTTTATTTCCTATACTAGCTAGAAAAAAATTCAAGAGGCTGGGACCAAACAAATATAAAGAACTAAAAGGAGCAAAATTATCCTTACCTTTTGTTTATGTCTCTACTAGCACCATCTATTTTCTTGCTAAAATTATCAAACTTAATGTGGAAAAGGTCTTCAACCCTCCCCAAGATGCTTGAATCTCCTCTTCCCAATCCCTGGCAAATGGGTGTGGAGCTTTTGCACAAACACCCCCACGGATGAGGAACTAACCATCTCATAAGTCTGTTCTATTTTCAAATCACTCTTTTAACAAGATATTCTCTATTTTGGGGCAAAACTTGTAGTTTCTATCCAATAGTCCTTTACTTTAGAGTTGCACAGTAATCCCTCTTTTATAAAGATGGCTTTCAAATATTTAAATAGAGCTATAACAACCCCTAAATATCTAGGTTAAAACCCTAAGAGTTCTTCAAATTTTACTTATGTGATACAATTTCAAATCCCCTTAGAATTCTGTTTACCTTCCTCTACCTTGGCTGCAGGTTATCATTATCCCTCAACTGTGGTGCCCAATCCTGGATCCAGTACACCAGGATAGAGTATGGGAAAATTCTGACCTCCCATATGACTACACTTTATTCCTCTGTTAAAAATGCTATCACTGCTGGGTGTGGTGGCTCCACCTGTAATCCCAGCACTTTCGGAGACTGAGACAGGTGGATCACTTGAGGTCAGAAGTTCAAGACCAGCCTGGCCAACACAGCAAAACCCTGTCTCTACTAAAAATGCAAAAATCAGCCAGGCATGATAGTGGTTGCCTGTAGTCCCAGCACTTTGGGAGGCCACGGCAGGAGAATCGCTTGAATCCAGGAGGCAGAAGGTGCAGTGAGCCAAGATGGCATCACTGCACTCCAGCCTGGGTGACAGAGAGAGAGAGAGAGAGGGAGAGAGAGAGAGAGAGAGAGAGAGAGAGAGAGAGAGAGAGAGAGAGAGAGAGAGAGAGAGAGAGAGAGACTTTGTCTCAAAAAAAACTGTCATGATGAAAACAGTTCAGCAACCTTCTTACAAAAGAATTAACTAGCTTATTACCTTTTAAAAAGTTTGAGACATCTTCCAATTGTGGGATATTATCCTCCCGATATCCACAATATTTAGAAAGCAAAGGTAAGTTTTTGAGATACTCTCTGCAAGCATGGGTTGGGTAGAGTTTGTTGAGCTCTTGGAATACGGTTCCCCAGGTCTTAATCTCCTCTTCAGTGAATTCAACCTTTGGAATAGGGTCTCCACTAATGAGATAAAGGGAAGGAGTTGTTTTGAATTAGCATTTAATAAACAGTAGCACTTATTTCACTTTCTGCTTACCAAATGAACATAATTTATTCTATTCACTTATTTTATTATCTCAAAGTTGGCTACAGTATTTTCTTTTAATATACTTACTGTTTATAGTTCATAGCCAAGTCCGAAAAATACTTTCGACGTTTACGGTAGACATTGTCTTTGAAGCCCTGATAATTAAAGACATGTTTTTAAATATCCATACTAAAAAATACTTGACAAATGATATTAAGGAAGCATTTCATTATTAGAAGAGCTGTTATATTAAGGGCTACATAATTGTTACTATGAGCAAGCATTATTTAGAGATTTATTATCATTTTTATTTTAAAGTGAATGTTACATGACAGCTTTATACTCTAGTAGCTACAAAAATAAAAGACATAATAGATACAAAAATAGTACAGTGGCTACAAAGATAACAGTTTGAAGAATAAGGAAACCACTATCCCAGTTAAATACATGGCTCTTTTCCAAGGGTGAGGGCTTTTTTCCTTAATCATTTGACTAGATTTTCAGTTATATTTACCCATAATAGCAATTAATAATAAAAAAGCAATTAATATTTGAAATAGTGCTTAACTGAATCTAGACTTAGATTTTATCACAAAATGTAAGTATATTTACCATTTGCAGAAACAATGATGACTTTAAAAGCAGACAAAATAGTAACATTAGAATTTATACTCATGAAAAAAACTTTTTTAGGCAAAATGGCTGAGCATGGTGGCTCACACCCATAATCCCAACACTTCAGGAGACCTAGGAGGGAGAATCACTTGAGCCCAGGAGTTTGAGACCAGCCCAGGCAACAAAGCAAGACCCCATCTGTACAAAAAAAGAAATTAAAATAACGATTATAACTAGCCAGGTGTGGTGGTGCAGGCCTGTAGTCCCAGTTCCTTGGGAAGAGACTGAGGCAGGAGGATGGCTTCAGCCCAGGAATTCTAGGCTGCAGCGAGGTATGATGGTGCCACTGCAGCCCAGCCTGGGCAACAGAAAGAGATTCTATCTTAAAAAATAAAATAAAATAAATAAGAAATCAAAAATCAAAGCCCAGGAGAAAATAGCCAAAAATGCAAATAATGGGAAAGAAGGGGGCACCTATAAAGAGAGAACGAGATTCGTCTCTTTAACACAGATCTATGGGATAATACAGACTTACTATGACCTGAATTCGTGCTAAAATCTGGAAAACCAAATATGAATAAAGCACAGACTGGGGCTTAAAGGAGTTTACTTGAACCTGTTATTGTAAAATGATACAATAAGTGTCTCCTCATATTGCACAGATATGTACAGAATGGCACGCACACTTAAGAAGATTGTGTGGCTCAGTGAATGCTTCCCAGTGATGACTCCCAAGTTAAGACACAAATGAGGAGTGGAAATAGCACAGTGACTTAAACAAACAAACAAAAAAAGCATGTTGGACCTAAGAAAATACAAGCAACCCCATGTTGCTCAAACTTGGAGAGGAAAGCGGAGCATGTTGAAAACTAGTTGGGGTCTGCAAATTAAAGGTCCATTAAGGAGCTTGGAGTTTAGCCTTTGGTAATGGAAACTCACTGGTGTTTTTTTTTTCCACTGGTGTTTTTTAATAACAACCTTATTGAGATATAATTCATATACCATAAGATAACCATTCATGGTTTTTAGCATATTCAGAGTTAAACAACATCTCCACCATCTAATTTCGGATTTTATCACCCCAAAAAGAAACATCATGCTCATTAGCAATCTCCATCTCCACCCCAACCCTCCCCAATTCCTGGCAACCAGTAATCCACTTTCTGTTTCTATGTATTTTTCAATACTGGACATTTCATATAAAAGAAATCATACAATACAAGCCCTTTTGTGACTAGCTTCTTTATCATAATGTTTTCAAGGTTCATCTATGTTGTAGCACATATCAGTATTCCATCTCCTTTTATGGCCAATAATATTTGTCTGTATAAATATACAATACTTCATCTATTCATCAGTTAATGAACATTTGGGTTGTTTCCACTTTTTTACTATTATGAATAATGCTGCTGCGAACATTTGTGTATATGTTTTTGTATGGACATATGTTTTCAATTCTTTTAAGTATGTACCTAGGAGCCATTGGTGATTTTTAAGAGAGAAGATTAATAATAGTCATACTGAGGTTTTAGATCCTTCTAATGAGTATAAGGAGGAGGTGTTTGAAGGTGACAAGGTTGGAGGAAGGGAGACCAGTTAAGGAATGTGGTCATAGGGATGAATAAAGAACACATTTAAGAAATACCTCGGAGGTAAAAATCAGCAGGACTTAGTAGATCTGTAAAACTGATGTACTCACCTTTCCATAAACATGCCCCAAATGTTCTTGCCTCTGAACCTTTGCTCATATTGTTCCCTCCTGAATTGTTCTTCCTTTCCATCTCTTATTTGCTGAAATCTTTTAAGGCCCAATTGAAGTGTTGCTTTTCTCTGATCTCTTCAGCTAGAAGTGTTTGCTCTCTTGTGTATATTTTGAAGCAATTTTTTCATGCCACCTAGCGCACTTTTTACATTTTATCTTGTGTGTGTTGATAATGTGTGCTTTAGCATTTCAACTAGACTGCAAGCTCATTTCTGGCAAGTGCTGCAACTAATTGCAATAGTTACTCAATGAGATTATAGAATAAATGGACAGAACATCTGGTGGCTGTCTAAGGTAGTATAAAAAGATCACATTCACAGAGCTAATATGTGAGAGAAGCTACATTAAAGTCCTGGTCTGTTCAACTTCACAATTGCCCTCTCTTTTCTCTTCCCCTCCCAGAAACCCAGAGCTTTGTAAGCAAGCCTAATGCTCTAGATCTACTAATTCTCCAACTCTTGCCTGTACTGTACAATTTTACAAGGAAACAATTTCCCAGTTCATTAACTGCCTAGTAAACCAATCATTCTGTGCAGTGTGTGGGGCAAGTCTTTCTCTGGCCCACTATTTATTTCCCTTTCCAACAACCCATGCCCATTTAAATAAAAACTGATTGCAGACCCTGTCTTCATTTTAGTATAACCCTTTGAATAGCTCTTAATCATAGAAATGCCGGGCATGGAACAGATATTTTGGAACCAATGAAGCTACATGCTTTTCAGGCAGTTAGTCTTAATTCCACCAACATGGAGGTCTACTAACACTTCCTGAAATCTTGACTAAAACAATATCTCATTTAGTCTAGAAAAAACACTTTCTGTAAAAATGTTGCCCTTAATTTTTAGTTCACTTTAAATTGTTTTTATAAATGTATTTATGAAAAATACTTACAGGCTGGTAGCTCATGCCTGTAATCTCAGCACTTTGGGAGACTGAGGCAGATGAATCACCTGAGGCCAGGAGTTTGAGACCAGCCTGGCCAACATGGTGAAACCCTGTCTCTACTAAAAATACAAAAATTAGTTGGGTGCGGTGGTGGGCACCTGTAATCCCAGCTACTTGGTAGGCTGAGTCAGGAGAATCACTTGAACCTGAGAGACAGATGTTGCAGTGAGCCAAGATCACGCCACTGCACTCCAGCCTGGGCAGCAGAGCAAGACTTGGTCTCAAAAAAAAAAAACAACTTACAGGATGGTCTGCATCTAGTTCAGATCCATACATCAGAACTCTGTTGGCACAGTGGTCCAGATCAGAAATCTTCTTAGGAAACCAAGGAACAGTTTCCATACCTGTAGAATTAAAAAACAAAAAACATTAAAAGTTGAAGAGATGATCTTAAACAAAACAATAAGGAAGAAAAAATAAAATTCAGTTGGATGAGATTTTTAATTTTAGCTTGTACATCAAGGCAAGATTTATACAAGTTAAGTAAATTGCTCTATTTCTAAAAAGTAAAATTTATTCAAAATTTCTGATGTTTATTTTCATTTTTATTTATTTATTTTTTTAGTTTTCAGGTTGATATTCTAAGTTTTGGGCAAACACTGTACTTTAGAAACATTAAAAGTTTTAAAATGCGTAAGCTACATATTTAGTTATCATACGAAAGCAGAATAAAGATTTACAACTTTATTTATAGACCAAGATAAAACAATAAAAACTTCATTTGTTTTTGTTGATGGGTAGGATCTTAGAAATCATTTATCTTTGCCACCTTGATCTTCTCACCATTCCTCAGACACACAAGCCCTCATAAGACTCTGGGATTTTGTAAATGCTATCTTCTGCCTGGGATAGCTATTCCACTCCCATTCCCCACCGCACCCCACTCTTCTGTTTTCCTGAGAATATCCTTCACATCCTTCAAGACCCAAATCTAACAAGATCTTCTCATTCTGAAAAGCCTTCCCTGACCCTGTAGCTAGAGCTAATTATCCATCCCCTGGGTTCCCATGATGTTATGTTTCTCTCTAAAGGCTTTTACTATGTTTTATTATAATGTACCTCTTTATATGTCTGTCCTACATGACAGATTGGAAACAACTGTAGGGTAAGGACTATATCTTTTTGTATACCTATTTTTTAGTGAAAATGTCTGTCACAAGATTGGTGTACTGTAAATATCAACTGAACTATTTAGTCATCTATAAACCTCTGCATTTTACAGATGAGGTAAACAAACTCTAGAGAGGTAATTTACCTTCCAAAGTAACTCACTCCTCATGGAAAAGAGTGGACTAGAACTCAGCTCTCTTGCCCCAGCATAATGCTCTTTCTAACATCCAGGAGTGATATTCAAGGGATTTAACAACAAATACAACGGGAACACTAATCACTCAAAATAGACATCAACAGAGTCCTAGGCTTCTGCTCTGCAAGGTGTTAACTCTTTCATTGTTAATGATGGGTGTGGGACTTCTTAATGGGGAGTCTCCGGAGCAACAGAGGCTTCAGGCATGGTGATGCTCCCTCAAGGGACTTGAGGAAGTAGTTCTCTGCCAGTCAGAAGTAGAGATATATCAGTATTTTAAATAATTATATAGCTGTACGAGCAAATAGCAGATGAATAGCAACCCTGATTACACCTCAAATATTGTGGACATAACATGAAGAGATTATTTTAGATTGAGTACCAAATATAAAATGTAGTTAAATTATCTATTTGTCTTTTGCCTTGAGTAAACTTCAAGGATTTTTTTCACCAGTAAAGATCTTAGCCTTTATCTTTGCTACTGATTATGCAACACTTTAAAAGGCTTTATTGCATTCTCATTTGCTTTTGGAAGGGATGCTGTACATCAGCGGTCCCTGACCTTTTTGGCACCAGAAACTGGTTTTATGGAAGACAATATTTCCATGAACGGGGAGGCAGAAAATGATTTCATCAGTCATTGGATTCTAATAAGAAGCACAGAATCTAGATCCCTTGCACGCGCAGTTCACAATAGGGTTCATTCTCCCAGACAGAGCTCAGGTGGTAAGGCTTACTGGCCGGATGCTCACCTCCTGCTGTGCAGCCTGCTTCCTAACAGGTCACGGACGAGTCCCCTGCTATACATATTGTATGTCTCATTTCATAGTTGTCAGCAACTGTCAACATTTGCAACAAATTTAAATATTCATTTACTATCTGCTAGATGCCAAATCTTATGAGACTTACTAAGTGCTCAGGGATTGTGAATTAGTGGTTTGTCAAATCAAGAAATGTTGATTATTTGGAAATTGAGAGATAATCAATTTCTGATTATGCTGCATTGTCTTTCTTTCGTTGCTGGGTTGCTTCCGTCTGTCTTTCCTTCTGTCTTTCTTTCTTTCTTTTTTTCTTTCTTTCTTTTTTTCTTTCTTTTTCAGGGTCTTGCTCTGTCACCCAGACTGGAGTGCAGTAACACAATCTTGGCTCTCCAGCTTCAACCTCCTAGGCTCAAGTGATCCTCCCACCTCAGCCTCCAGAGTAGCTGGGACCACAGGTGCTTGCCACCACACCTGTCTAATTTTTGTATTTTTTGTAGAGACCGGGTCTCTCCATGTTGCCCAGGCTGGTCTTGAACTCCTGGACTCAAGTGATCTGCCTGCCTCAGCTTCCCAAAGTGCAGGGATTATAGGGATAAGCCACCACTCCCAGCCATTTCTTATACTCAAGATTTTCTTTTTCATTTCTCTTATACTAGATCAAATGTCGCTTTATAATTTTTCTTTGGTATCTTGAGCAACTATATCTTGTGTTCCTTTCACTACCAGCCTATAAGGAATTTGGAGAGACTGTGTTTTATTATTCTTATATCTTCAAGATAAATATAAGATTGGACACACATTTGGTATTTCATCTTCTAACTAGTGTTTTTACCTTTCAAACTTACCATCTTCCTTCACAGTAAAATTATCTGGAGGATTCACAGAGAGAACATTGGTATGAGACTTCAGCAGATGAAAAATATCATTCAGTTGTTCTCTGTTGATGTCACAGTCAACAAAAATCTCAAATTCTGAGTTTCTTCTTTTTGATTTTCGGGACTCAATATGTAACAGATTCACATGCTTCTCCTGTGTAAAGCACAGGGTAAAGATTGCATGTAACTGCACCAAATGTTAATAGTCTCTGAGCAGCTTACTTTCATTACCACTAAAGATCAGACTCACACTTCTCAGAACAGCCAAAGGGAAAAAAAGCTGTTTTTAGTGCTGCCAACAACAAAATAATTCCTCTTAAAAATATGTACTAGTCAAAAAAGTTTTCAAAATTAATCCCATCCTCCAGAAAACAATAAAATAACACATACTAGAGGTCCTTCAGATTGTCAGAATTAGTCAGAATTCAAATCAAAATATTAAGTTTCCTGGCTAAGAAGAATCTTTTGAAAATTCTCATAATTGAAAGCTAGATTTCAAAAAGTGATACCAGTGTTAATCTTGGACAAAGAAGAGTTTCCCTTGCAAAAAATCCATTTAATAAAATTAGATGAACAGATTGAGCACAGAGTTAATACCTCAAATCTCTTAAGCTACAATCTTAGTAACAGCTGAACCAAATCTCCTCTTCTGACCTCTTCTAAGTCAGCTGAAGATGGAGGTACTATGTGTAGAACTGTGGGATGAGGGTTTGTTCTCTTACCAATTTGGGTAGCTGAGGAAGAGTGCTAGGGACATGATAATGAAACATGAGAAGTGATCACCCAATAGTTTTTTCATCTAAGAAAATGATTAGAGCAGATAGTCTCCAATACTAACCAGTGCATCCTAAAATAACTTAATGAACACCTGTGTAACTAGGTAAGAGCTACGAAGAATGCAAAGGGAAGACATAAAGGAATTTATAATCTAGTTGGCTAACAAATGAAAGATTAAGAAAATAAAGTAGAGAGTGTTCAGATGCAGATTTTCAGCAAAGGGAAAAGAATCACAACTTAAGAGAGAGTCGAAAATTTCACGGAGCAGGTCGGAACTGAAATGAATCTTAAAGAATAGACAGAATAGGCCAGGCATAGTGGCTCATGTCTGTAATTCCAACATTTTGGGAGGCCAAGGTGAAAGAATCACTTGGGCCCAGGAGTTGAAGACCAGCCCGGGCCACATAGCAAGAACCCATCTCTACAAAAAAATAATAGATTAGCCAGGCATAGCGGGGCACATCAGTAGTCCCAGCTACTCGGGATACTGAGGTGGGAGGGTCACTTGAGCCCGGGAGGTGAAGGCTACAGTGAGCCATGATTGAGCCACCACACTACAGCCTGGACAACAGAGTGATATCCTTTCCCCAAAAAAAAAAAAAAAAAATTATCAGGGAACATGACCCAACAAGAAAGAGGATTGAGTAATAAAGGATGTTAGGAAATTAAAATAGGCAGGGTTTGTCTGGAAACATAGTATTTATCATAGAATCAATAGAAGTCAGTTACAAAATATACTGGGATTGATCGGGTATGAAGAAGAGTTTCATTTCATCTATTTCTTATAAATGTTTACAGTAATAATGCATTTGTAAATATTTTCTAAATGTTGACGTCAATAAATATAAAGCTAAACTGTGTTTTTGGAGGAAAAAAGACGCAAAAATGTCAATTCTTACTAAATTGAAATCTCAATGGAATTTGGTTAGGAAATGTAGTCAAATAATTTCTAAATTCATCTGGAAGAAAAATATAATCTGGAAAATTCAAATAAAGTAGAAGTAGCAAGTGACACATTCCCTATCAGACATTTCAATTACAGAAACAGAGGCATAGCAAGGTTAAGCAGATTGCCCAGAAGCACACAGGTGACAAGTGTCAGAGCGGGAATTCAAATCTAAGCTGTCCAGCTCCACAGTCCATGTGCTTAAAACACTGTGCTGTACTGTTTACAATAGCAAAGACCTGGAACCAACCCAAATGCCCATCGATGATAGACTGGATTGGGAAAATGTGGCACATATACACCATGGAATATTATGCAGCAATCAAAAATGAAGAGTTCGTGTTGTTTGTAGGGACATGGATGAATCTGGAGAACATCATTCTCAGCAAACTGACACAAGAACAGAAAATGAAATACTGCATATTCTCACTCATAGGTGGGTGATGAAAAATGAGAACACATGGACACAGGGAAGGGAGTACCAAACACTGGGGTCTATTGGGGGGAAGAGGGGAGGGACAGCGGGAGGGGGGGAGCTGGGGAGGGATAGCCTGGCGAGAAATGCCAAATGTGGGTGAAGGGGAGGAAGGCAGCAAAACACACTGCCATGTGTGTACTTATGCAAATGTCTTGCATGTTCCACACATGTACCCCAAAACCTAAAAATGCAATAAATAAATAAATAAAAGAAAAAAAAACACTATGCTGTAATCCTGTTGCACAAGAAAGGAAGAGTCACAATGGTGGCTACTATGGCTCCTCTTCAAACAACATTTACCTAATCTTAATAATAAGAACACTGACACAGCCAAAGACTGGGATATAAATACATTGGGAAAATGAGTGGAAAGGATGTTGAAGAGGCTATCAGAAGGGGAGTTGTGCCAAGAAACCTAAATCTTTACTTTGTTGTTGAAAATCAATAGATAATAACCTATAATTTTAAAAATCAAGAAGTAGAAGCAGAATGAGGATATAATTTATAAGCGTGGAAGTAAATATTGGAAAAATAGTTAAAAGAGTGAAATGGTTGCCTCTGCTAGGCAGGGATAAGTAAAATGGATGGAGACACACCTGGAACACCATGTAGCATTTAGAAGAATGAATGAGATGTTCACAGAGCAGCATGCGTAAGTCTTAAAAACACAGTTTGGCTGGGAAAAAGAATCTTTATAGCACAATATGATTTATATTAATTACTAATATATGCACACACAAAAACTACATATCCTAAAGTGCAGATAAAAGTAATTCAGTGTATATTTCAAACGTATGAGAGCAGCTCTCTATCAGAAGAGAGAAATGGAGATAGAATTGAAGAATGAAATAAAACAGGATGAGGTCGCACAAATCAACAACGATAGTGTAGATGTGATTTAATAAGTGTGATTAACTCAAGCTTCTGCACATAAGGTTGCAAAAAAATTAAATGAAACTTAGAAATTAAAAGAGATAGAGCAAAAGACTACTTTTCAAAAATATGTTTCATACTGTGGGTTGAGTTGTTTTTAAGCTATGCACAATTATTCTTTGATTATAAATTAAAAAGAAAGTTGATAGAAGAAGACATACAGGTATTTTATTTAAAGACCCAAAGGTAATCAATATAATAGCTAGAAGTAATAATATAATTACTAAATTTTGAAGGACTGGGAGAGGGAAGGGAGAGAGGTGGTATCAGTATCATTGCTCATAATAGAAAGTAAATAAATATAGTGTGAAGTTGATAACTCAAAAGGCATGTAAGAGCAATGTTTAAATTTCATAAACTCACCACCAAAAAAAAACCTAAAGGCCAGACATAGTCAAAAGAGTTTGCCTCGGCCAGTCGCAGTGGCTACACCTGTAATCCCAGTACTTTGGGAGGCCAAGGCGGGCGGATCACAAGGTTAGGAGTTCAAGACCAGTCTGACCAACAAGGTGAAACCCCATCTCTACTAAAAATACAAAAATTAGCCAGGCGTGGTGGCAAGTGCCTGTAATCCCAGCTACTTGGGAGGCTGAGGCAGGAAAATTACTTGAACTGGGAGGCAGAGGTTGCAGTGAGCCAAGATCATGCCACTGCACTCCAGCCTGGGCCACAGAGTGAGATCCTCTCTCAAAAAAAAAAAAAAAGATGGTTGCCTCTAGGGAGTGGGACTGAGAATATGGTATGTGTTGGGTAAAAAAAACTGATGCTTTTTATTACAAGCTCTTCTAGACTATCTATATTTAAGATTTTTAATTCTTTGAAATATTCTTTGCTAACAGCTATATAATGGCATATCATGTGATTATTAACATAGCTAACATCTATTGATCACTTACTTTGTACTCTACCTTCCTAAGCATTTTAGAGATATTAACTCTACTGATGCTCACAACGACCCTATCAGGTAGGTAGAGTTCTCATTTTATGGACATAAAGCCTGAAGTGTGGAGAGATTAATCAATTTGCCCATGATCACCCAGCTGATAAGTGACAGAGCAAGGATCTGGATTCAGGTGGCCTGTCTCCAGAGACCAAAGCTTAACCACAGTGGTGTTCTGCTAGCAGAATTCAACATCCCCTATATTAGGACAAGTAGATTGTTTACAATTTTAGTTCCTATAAACAATAAATCTTTGTGTGTCCCTGAGCCCTTAAACTCAGTTAGGTCCCCCCCAGTTCAGTGCTGTCACAGTATCCGGTACTTCTGTTTCACGTCACTTTACACATAGTAATTATTCACATACTATAGTTGTTTGTTTAATGTTGCCTTCCCCTCTAGATTATATACTCTGCAAGGCGAGGCGCTGTGTTAACTTTGTTCAGCTCCACATCTTTAATGTCTGGTGTAGTACCTGCCACATAGTAAGGACTCAATAAATATTCATGTTCTGCCTGACTGATCCATATTTTTTAAGACAGATTTATGAAATTAGAATTATGGGTCAAAAATATGAACATTTCAAGGCTTATAATCCATATACCCAGATAGTTTCCCTACATGGTACACAAATTTACCCTCCTGCCAAAGGTGCATTGGAGGGTAATGCACCTCCAATGCAATGAAGCTCCAACTATAGGAGAGAGTGTCATTATAAAGTCTTTGCTACATGAAAATAATATTATTAAATATTCTATGACTATACCATCAAATCTCAAGCATATAATTAATATATGATTAAATATCAGTAAAATCTTAATATTTTATTAAAATAAAATTAAAATTTGCTTCTCTAAAATTTGTAAAGGGAATCTTTCCCCCCGCTTTCCTTAAAGTAGCTATTTGTAACTCCCCTTCTGTAAATTGTTTGTATCCCTTGTTAGAATTCAACAATATTTTAGAAATTGAAGTTCTTAACAAATGTTTGTATTTACATCTCTGAGGAATTTACAATAATTTATATATTTAGAATTTACAATAATTTATATATCTATGTTGCCATATATATATGTGTGTGTGTGTGTATGTGTATATATATATATATACACATAGAGAGAGAGAGAGAGAGAATCTCTGCTACCCAGGCTACAGTGCAGTGGTGTGATCATAGCTCACTCACTATAACCTTGGACCTCTGGACTCAAGCAATCCTCCTACCCCAGCCTCCCAGGTAGCTGGGACTACAGATGTCCACCTCCACACCTAGCTTAATATTTTTGTTTGTTTGTTTTTTTAGAGATGGGGTCTTGCTATGTTGCCCTATATTTTAAATATAGTTTTAGAGAGTCATTTCTAAAACAATTTTGTGCAAAAATATGGAAAATGCTTACCTGAAAGATTTTCAAGGCTTTTATAAGTCCACCAACTTCATTTTTTAAAGAAAAAATGAGACTTGCTCTTCCCCTTTCTAAGGAATGGTCTTTGTTCTCCTTATTGTCTTCAATCATGATAAATTTGGAGTAATTCTCTAAAACTAAAAGTATGAAAACAAAGACAAAGTGCTAAAACAGAAGTTGCACAATGCAGACAATATTTGATAACTAAGGGCTCATTTACTTCTAGAAACTTCGGTTTCTTAACCATTTATAAAACCTTGGTATGCATATAAGCTTTGCAAGAATCTAATGAGACCAAAATAAGATAAAACTTTGCCTGATACACTGCCTAGAATAGAATAGTCATACAATACATGTTAGTAGCTCCCTTTCCTTTTTTTCTAAACCAATCTGTCTTTTAGGGCATGACTCAAGCCTGCTAGCTTCTTGCAGTCTTCCCAACTATTATAGCCTAAACTAGTCAAGGCCTACTGGTGTCTGGTGTGGTACCTGACACATAGTAAGGACTCAATAAATATTCACGTTCTGCCTGACTGATCTATATTTTTTAAGACAGGTTTATGAAATTAGAATTATGGGTCAAAAATATGAACATTTTAAGGCTTCTCCCCACTCTGCCCACAATCTTAGCACTTCATTATACCAGGTCTCAAATGGTTTCCCCAAATGTTTTATTCGGACATGTTTCATCTTCTAACAAGGCAGCAAGCTCCTCCAGAGTGGGGACAAGGCTTTCTACTTATTTTGTAAACTAAAGACCTGGCCAGCTCTAGACATATGTTTACTAGATGAATAAGTGCTCGACAGGAGAATTCCAGTTCTGCTTCTCAGAAGATGAAACAGATGTCTACTATGGTATCTTCTCAACAACCTATTTATACTGCAGAACATTATAAGGAAATACATGGAATGTGAAATCAGATATATCTCATCATTGGCTTGATGTTTATCAGTGTATGACCTTAGACATGGTACTTAACCTTTCTAATATAGGTAAGTTACCAAACAGCTACTAGAACTCATAACATCCAAAATTCCCACTCGTTTTAAAACACCATAATGTAGTATGATATTCTGATAGTTTCCTCACAGATGAAACTAGGCTATTTCAGGTACCAAGAAGAGTTAGAGATGTATAATTCAAAATTTAACAAACATTTATAAATTTATTGGGTTCAAGTTCCCAAAACTACCAAGATTTTTAAGTTATGCCAAATTATTCTCTAGAACTAAAACAATCTCTATTTCAAATGCTATAAAATGAAATAGCCAGTTAAATTGAATAATTATGTGGATTTTTCTGTGATTAAAATAATTACTAATGGTAAAATGAATACAATTTCAACCCAAGCACATTCACATGTATAAAGTGTGACAGTCAATGTTAGGGCAGTATAGATTTAAAAACAAGAAAATTTGCCTCCAAAGAATTCACACACTTATTCATGGGATAGGAAAAGAGGGAAGACAGACTTCTCAAAAAGTATAAATAAGCAGAAGAGAGGGACACCGAGATCTCATCCATGATACCTAAGGAGTATACTTGACCACGCCTCACCTTCCCACCTCCCCTACCCCTTTGATCAATATCCCATATGCTTCTAAAGATGACTGAAGATGGCTTCTAGCCCATCCATGAGTCTCTGCTGAGAAAGGAGTTATGGATGAGAAGCAAGAGATCTTAAGAGATTTTCCACTTCAAAGGAAGTGATCATTTCTTAAGGTAAACTTAAGTATACACAGAAAATTCTGAATTGGTGGCTCTGGGGCTAAAAATTCAGGGATGGTCTTGGATAAGCATTCTCAAAATGCTTTTAGGGATGTGAAAACTTTCAGAAATATTTCTTATCCATTCAATTACCACTCAAAGATTGACTTTTCTTATTAAACACAGTGTATGGGTGGCATCGTCCTATGGTGTACAAATGCAAACAATAAGAGAGATGCAGACTAATATAACAAATTGCTAGTAATAAATCTTTCTGCAAATCCATTTAGGCAAGTTATAATCTTTATGGGCATCAATCTCTTTATCAGCAAACTTGGAGGAAGGATAATTAACACCACTCTCATGATTATAAGGAGGATTACATATACATAAATTTATTGTTACAAGGAGGATTAAATAGATATAATTTATATAGAACTCTTAGAACAGTTGCTAACCTAATTACTCAATAAGCATTATCTCAAATAATAGAGAATATATCCCAAATTTTCCAGTCTTCAAAAAAAGAGAAAATGTTGAAATAGACATTCTAAACACCTCTAGCTAAGAATTTTTCTTGCCCGAGGAACTAGGCATTTTACAAGATGATTAACATATTTATTATAATAGCAAGCATGTGGAAATGGTGCTTTATGATATAAAATGTCAGTATTGTTTTGTATCAAGGTGATTTCAGTTTCATTAATTTATTACCAAACCCCTAAAGTGTATTAAATTCCAAATCTCAAGTGAAAAATTCAGCAGTTTTTTTGCAAATAAACAAAGACCCCAAAGTAAAATGTACTGAGTTAGCCTATATTTACTGAGTCCTCATGTTCCCTGATACCATAACCATGACATGCAAAAGGAAGAGGATTCTGCAAATATAAGCTATTTCCTGGCCAACTCTAAGTCAACATGTAAGTCAACTCTAAAAAGTGGGAGCAAGGATCAGAAAACAGTAAAGAAAAGCTACCACTGATTTTTTCTAGTCAGTGGTAACATTAACAGAACTTTAGATCTCCTGATAATTTGTCTTTCAACAGTCTCTTGGAGCTTGGCATAAAACTCTTCATATATAACAATATGAGACTGGGTGCAGTGGCTCAGGTCTGTAATCCCAGTGCATTAGAAAGCCAAAGTGGGCAGATTACTTGAGGTCAGGAGTTCTAGACCAGCCTGGCCAACATGGTGAAACCCTGTCTCTACTAAAAATACAAAAATTAACCAGGCATGGTGACACATGCCTGTAATCCCAGCTACTTGGAAGGCTGAGTCATGAGAATCATTTGAACCCAGGAGATGGAGATTGCAGGGAGCCAAGATTAGCAACTGCATTCCAGCCTGGGTGACAGAGGGAAACCCTGTCTCTTAAAAAAAAAAAGAAAGAAAGAAAAAGAGGATTTCCTTCCATTTTCAAAACTGGCCCCTAAGCTTTCCTGGATGTTGCTATTATAAGAAGGTACTAACAGTCATGGCTCCATCCCTTTGGGGTTCATAATCCTTTTCTTTACCTGATTCTGGCATGGATCAAGTTTGGTGCCAACATCTTAGTGGGTGTGGGGAGAAGAGGGTGAAGGATACATTAACTGAAAGTTATGATATGCAAGGAATTTATATTATTTTGATTTCTTTAAAGACATACATTATTATATGAAGATGTGAGTGGCTCACACCTGTAATCCCAGAACTTTGGGAGGCCAAGGTGGGCAGATCACCTGAGGTCAGGACTCCTGGACCAACTAGCTAACATGGGGAAACCCTGTCTCTACTAAAAATACAAAAATTAGCCAGGCATGATGGTCTGGGCCTGTAATCCCAGCTACTCCAGAGGCTGAGGCTCCAGGAGGTGGAGGTTGGAGTGGGCCAAGATTGTGCAACCGCACTCCAGCCTGGGCAACAGAGCCAGACTCTATTTCGAAAAAAAAAAAAAAAAAAAAAGATGTGGAAACACTCCTCCTTGTTTAAGTCAAGGTAAGAATGAAGGTTCTCAACAGGAACTTTTTATAAGAAACTGGAAGAAAATTCTCACCTCCATTTTTGTTCCTCCCACCCCAAAATAATCTTGCAGGACATAGATCTTTGATCATTACTAAAACTTGGTCGTAACTTTGCCTGGTTGACAGACCTTATAAGGCATCAGTTCTTTTTTCCTCCACTCAATACCCTCAAACCCTTTTCAGAACCTCAGTATTTTGTCTTGTTACATTTCCCTTTCCTCCTTCAACCAACCTATCCCTTCCTACTCTTTCATGGAAAAAAACCCCACAATACTAACCTGGGAAGATAAAATAGGTCACACTTGTTTAAATTGGTGTCTCATCAATACATATGTATTTTATTTTCTCATGAAAGACAGAGAGTCATTCTCCTACTGTGTTTCCTGACCTGACTAAGGATGCACTGCTGTGCAGGACACAACACTGGAAATAAGGAAAAAAAATACCAAGAAGACACTCAGAAGATCAATAGACCTGACCCTTGGTAAAGTAGAGGTCAAGGTGTATACAATGCTCAACTCTTTTCTCCCCTTAGTTTAATCAGTAAAACAAATGTAATTTACATTTACCTGATCTAGGTAGCACAAAGCACTACTGAATTAGTCTTCTGAAAGCAGGGATGTTGTTTGAAGACAGACCTAAAAAATGCAAGGAGGAGTCTTTCAGAGGGAAAGAATCCTTTAGAGAGACTTGATTTTCTTTTCTAAATAAGGAGTGGGAATGAAGATGAAAGTGGAGATGAAAAACAAAAGAAAACACTACCCACGAAAAACAGTATTCCAGGAAATAAAGGCACTGGCAGAGACATGGAAATAGAAGACACATCTCTACCTGAAGACAATCTAATAATACATGTACAAATGGACCTCAGTGATAACATATGCAAACCACAGATTATAACTTTACAGAAATATTAATATTAGAATTCCACTCCCCCTTTTATAAAAAAATGAAAAGGCACAAACTTTTCCTGTGTTAGCAAGTTCAACTCTAGTCTTTTCCCCCCTAAGCCATGTAGAGTGGGACATCAACGGGGAGTTCATGTTAAACCTCTGAAAATCAGAGGCCAAATACAAGGTTAAGTTTACCTGGACTCTTAACTGGCTCTAGTTAAGGACCACAAGAACTTAGTCCTTTTTGCCCGTTGCGACCTTGTAACAAGCTCCTCGCCGTCTGTTGGGATGGTGGTGATGAGGGTAAGTGTCATGCTGAGAAGCTTTGCATCTGAAACTCCCTCTTCTTTGGTGGGGGGGCTGTCTAAGGGAGGCTTCCCTTTATGGGAGGAGAAGAACAAAAAGGGATATTGCCCCTCGATGGAGAGGAAAAGAAGGAAGAAAATGTTTGTGCTTCTGCCAACGTAGAGAAGTCACACAGACTTGGGTTCGACTCTGAACCACTGTTTCCTCATCTGGAGACTCAAGAAAGATCTATCAGCTTTTGTTGTGAAGGTGAAATCTGATTATGTGCAAAGAGTCTGTTCCTGGCACACTGGAGGCCCTCAAAAAGTGCCTTCTCTCCACAAAGAGTGCAGAAGGAAAGAAGAGTAAGTGCCCACAGGGGTACAAATCCGACCTCCAAATCTGACTCCGCAAGACCACAAATTTACCTTCCAGGAGGGTGACTCTGCTCAGCCCCGTGCCTGCCAACGCCGCCAAAGCCTCGGCAGTGGTTCCCGGTGCCCGCGGAAAGGGCCGCCTCGCTCACCTCGAGCGCAGTTAGCTGCAAGCTGGGTCGGCCCGCGGTCCCGCGCTGCCGGCCTCTTATAGAAGCGGGCGTCGGAGCGAGCCAATGGGCTCCGGGGGCAGCCGGGCAGCAGCCAATGAGAAGGGAGGGGCGGCGGGTGGGCGTCCTCCTGGCAGACAAAGGGGAGCATACAAACCAAATACATATGCACTTTGTTTGTAAAGCAGCGCTCTGATGAGCTAACGCCAACGGTACCCTTTTCTCATGAAAGGCAGAGAGTCATTCTACCGCGTTTCCGGGCCTAAGGATGCACGCACTGCTGTGCAGGACACACCTGAGCCCGGCAGGCTGCTGGCAGTCCCGCCCGCCTGCGCCCCGAGACTCGCACGCCTCAATCTATGCGTGTATCTGACTGGTGTTTTAATTAAGTGAATGTTAGGCCATCAGAAGTCTGACTAACATTGAACAATCCAGAGGTGGACATTCCCTCCAAACCAAGATAACGTCTATTATCGACATAATGACTGCTACAGGACTGCAATGCTTCTCGCCTGTTGGAGACCAAAGCAGGAATCCCCCACGTCCCACACCTCTCTGTGCTTCCCGGCTGTTAATAGCCCAGTCCTGCCTCATTATTCTCTTGGTGCCTTCCCCTGTTCCTTGAGGCAGAGCAACAGTTGAACTTTTTAGAAGAGAAGTGTTCAGTGTCCTTCTAAGTTAAAAATATTTCAAAAAAAAAACAAAAAAATATATATTTTAAGCTGCAAGCAGAGAAGCATTCTACATGAGCAAAAAATTATGTAACATGCTATTGTGAACAACACAACACAGAAGCAAAAAAACTGAAATAGGTATTCATTGGTTGTGCAGTCAGTCGATTAGCTCCTATCGCAAAGGACTGTATATGTAACACAGTATATTATAAGAGACTCTTTTCTCCATTCCTATTCAAAAGAAAATAAAACATCATTCCTCGTCCTTGTCAACAGAGGATGTTCTTAATTGCCTTAATGTTAGACAATCTCAATAGCACAAATAAGTATCTAATTTTTCAATTAGTATTTTTCTAATTATTAGCAGAGCCAAGCATCTTTTCAGACATTCGTTCACATGTGAACTTATTTCACCGCTCAATGCTCAATATACGGATATGAACTGTCTGCAATATGCAGCGCTGTCATCCAAGCTTTCATTTGCCTTTAACGTCATTTCAGATGTCTTGTAGCTGAAAACTTTAAAAATTTATAAAGTCAAATCAAGCTTTTAGGCTGGAGTTCAAGAGGGTCCCAAAATCACACTCTTCTCTTTCTTCCAAGTTCTTAGCCAGACAGATGGAGATTAGTTGAGGCAAGTAGTAAGTGTGGAAGCAGGGAGATGGGTTGAAAGGCTACTGAAGGGTTCTGGCTGAGACACAGTGATGGATGTGGAGGTAGCATGGAGATGAGGAATCACTTCTAGGCCTCTTGGAAGTTCCAGTGTAGAGTGGAGATGAGGAGAATGGAAGACCAACTGAGCACATGCTTGGGAGATGGAGTCACTAGGATTCAGCTGATGGCAGGATAAGGAGATGGTAAGGGAAAGGGGTCAAGAATGACTCCTAGGCTTTTTACTTGGCAATTGGGTTGGTTGTGCCGTTCCACTTACAAAGACTGGGAAGACAAAGAACAGGCTTTGCAGGGAGGAGAAAATCGTTTGTTTTTGGACTTGTTAAATTTGAGATGCCTCCTAGCTATCCAAATGAAGATGTCATGTAGGCATTAAATCAAGCTCTAAAATTCAGAAAGAGGCTGCAGATATAAATATAGAGGTCACTGGCATAACGATCATATTATAAAGATAGTATATAGGCCGGCCAGGGTGGGTCATGCCCGTAATCCCAGTACTTTGGGAGGCTGAGGAGGGAGGATTATCTGAGCCCAGAAGTTCAAGACCAGTCTAGGCAACAAAGTGAGACTCTGTCTCTATACAAAATTTTAAAAAGTTAGGGAGGCATGGTAGTCCCAGGTACTCTGGAGGCTGAGGTGCCAAGATCACTGGAGCCCAGGAGTTTGAGGCTACAGTGAGCCATGATGACAGAGCCTGGGTGACAGCGCTAGAGAGACTGGATGAAATTTCCTACAGAGAGAATATACAGAGAGACAAGAGGCCAGTACTGGACCCTGGAGCACATCAAGTTTCAGAGGTTCTTCAGAGTGGACACCAAGGAGGGAGAAACTAAGGTGAATGTAATGTTACAGAAACCAAGAGGAGAACATGCTTTAAGAAGGAAGGATTCATCAGTTACCTTGAATGCTACTTCAAGTTGAGGACAGACATGTAACCAATAGATTCAGCATCAGAGACAGCACTGGGATTCTCGATGAGCAATTTCAGTGGTGTAGGGCGGAGGGAAACCAGTTTAGAGGCAGAGATGAGATTAGGTCACAGAGATCTTTTGGGAGTCCCATTGTAAAGGGGTGCAGAAAAATGGAGAGAAATTTGAGGTAAAGGGAGAGATTTTTTGGTTTGTTTTTGCTTTTTGAAAGTAAGCAGCCTAGAGAGAGGATGTTCTAGAAGCACAGAAGAAATAAGGAAAGTGAGAGTGATTGGAGGAGCAGCGTTCATCTTGCTGAACTCATGGGTTCTATTAGGCCAGTCAGGTAAGTCTCTTGACTTCCCAGGTGTATATAATCATATCATCTGAAAATGAACCTGAAAAAAATAATGGCACTTTTTAAAAATAAGTGACTTTTATAAAAATCAGGATAGTGATTTGTTTTGGAGAAAGGCAGGAGCTGTGATTGAGAAAGAGCATATACAGGAGCTTCTGGATAACTGGAAAAGTTATTTGTGACTTATTATATCATCTAATTATCTGGATGTCCCATTTAATTTGAAAAGAATGTAACATTTCCATTTTGGGGTATATAACAATCAGGATAGAGCAAACACACTTGCAATGATGAATTCTCATTTATTATGTTCACATAATAAAGGCTTATTTCACTTTCACCCTAAGTTCAACATACTCTCCAGGGCAACTCCTCTCCATGTGGTTCTCTGTGTGCAGGCAATTTTCATCTCGTGGCTCTGCCATCTTAATCCATGGCTGTCACCAAAAAAGAAGAGAATTTTGAGATGAAATACCAGCTTTTAAATGCTTTGACATTTAACTCATTGGCTATCACTAATCACTTCACTCTTGCTTACTACAAGAGGGTTGTTAAACATAATCTTCCCATAAGCTCAAGAAGATAAAAACCAAATACAGAGAGCCCAAATAGCCTTTACCATAGAGTACAAAGGTCAATATACGTGTGCACTTAGAGTATAGGAATTAAGAGCATGAACTGTGGAGCCAAATGAAGTCCTGCCATTTACTTGGCTGTGTAACTTCAAGCAAGTTATTTCATTATTCCATGCCTTGGTTTCTCAGTCTGTAAAATTTCTGTCTCATAGGATTATTATGAGGATTAAGTGAGTTCATAGTTATAAAACATTTAAAATACTGCTGGCACATAGTGAGTGCTAGATTTGATTTTATTCATATCTTCTATGTCCTTATTATTATTTTTTTTCTTTTACTTAGTTTTCCACTTCTGAGAGATGAGTTTAACTTTCCTACAATTTTTTAAATAATTACTCTTGGTATGTCTAACAAAATTTGCTTAACATATTTAGTTGCTCTTATTGTTTATTTTAAAGTTTATGGTTACATCTTATTAATTGTGTCACTTACAGATATAAACTATCCCGTGTCTTTTTAATGTTTTCCCCCTTGATTCTGTTCTTTGTTTTGCAATTTCTGCTCTGTTTTGTTATTACTTAATTTTTATCCCTGCCTTTATTGTGTTGTTTTAAGTTTGTCCCTGTAAAAACAAAACTGATTTTGTCTCCAAACAGAATATTTATCTTTTAATAATGTAATCTATCCCATTCATATTATTGGTGTTTTGAGTCTTAAAATTTCTTTCTTTTTCTTTCTCAGTCTGACCTTTGCTGGCTTGATCAAATTTTCTCTGGTCCTTTTTTAAAAATCCCGTGGTTTAGAAATTCTACATCTTTTTCCTAGTGCAATAGTGATTATCCTCAAATGATCAATAAACATATTTAAATGTATATATTCCTATCAACACCAAGATTACTCAGTATTTACAACCTCTCTCCTTAACAAGACAAGGCATTTGGAATGCTCTTACTTCTCTTTTCCCTTGCCTCCCCCACCCCTAAACCTTCCAATGTCTCATTTGTTCATTCAACAAATATTTACTCCGCCTCAAATATGTGTTAAAAGCATGTGGAATTTTATTTGCAAATTGTTAGTACATTAACATTTAACAATTGCATCAAATATTACATTAAACCAATTAGTGATTATTTGATCTTTCCTAACAATTTTCCTGGTTTGTCAATTCATTGTTTGTAGAGGGCATTACAGGGGTTTGTTTTTTAATTTTTAATTTTTATAGGTACATAGTAGGTGTATTTATGGAGTACACGAGATATTTTGATAAGGCATGAAAAGTGTAATAATCACATAATGGAAAATGGCATATCCATCCCCTCAAGCATTTATCCTTTGTGTTACAAACAATCCAATTATACTCATATAGGTTTTGTTTGTTTATTTTTTGTTGCCCAGGCTGGAGTGCAGTGGCATGGAAACCTCTGCCTTCTGGGTTCAAGCAATTCTCCTGCCTACGCCTCCCAACTAGCTGGAATTATAGGTGCTGGCCACCATGCCCAGCTAGTTGTTTCGTATTTTTAGTAGAGACAGGGTTTCACAATGTTGGCCAAGCTGTTTTGAACTCCTGACCTCAAGTGATCCAGCTGCTTTAGCCTCCCAAAGTGCTAGGATTACAGGCGTGAGTCACCGTGCCCCACCTCTTAACAGTTATTTTTAGATGTTCAATCAGATTATTATTGACCATTGTCACTGGACATTACTGTTTTTAGTGCTCTGCATCTATTCCCTTTTCTTCTGTTGAAAAAAACTCTGGTTTTCTTCTTCCTCTCCCAGTCTCAGTGCATTAGCTTTGTTGAACCTACTTCTACTCCTGCCCTCTCCCCCATTTCTAGCACAGTTGCAGGACTCTGGACAGGCCAATGAGAGGGTTCAATAGCTTTTGGCCAGATTAATTGGTTCAACAATGAGCACATGACCCAATTTGGACCAGTAAGAATAAGGCCCAAGACTTCTGTTTGCAATTTAGAAGACAGTTTCTCGTTCTTATCTTTAACTTTGAGGGATAAAAGCCTGAAGTTTGCAGAAGTCATCTAGTGAAGAAGGCTTGAGGGTGATGCCAATGTGGTATCTAGTGACAGTTGAAGAGAAACCAGGGCCTAAGGCATGGTTTAGGTACCTGGAACCATCCTACCTGAAGTTTGACTCCTTTTTATTAAACCATAGGTTTTTGACCCATAAGTTACTGTTTTTCTATACCATGAATATACTTTTTATTTTCTTGAAGTAAGTCCTTGAATATTTTTTTTCCAGAAAGATCGCATGGGTATTATACTTCAAAATGCTCATATGTCCAAGAGTTTCCATTCTAGAGTCTTGCTGTCTTCGTCATTTCATATCTCGCCTTGGGAAGGTAAGTAAAACTGGTACAGCATTTTACATGATGGCAGTTCAATGTTTGTGTATTATAGATGTAGAAAAGGAACCGTTTTTAGGTAAAAATGGGGGAGGGCTTTATTATCAGACAAATATGAATTCAAATTCCAACTCTTCTACTTACTACCCGTGTGAGCGTCAACAAATTTTTAACTTCTCTAAACCTTTCTTCATCCAGAAAAGATAGATATAATATTATCTCCTTTGTGAGAATTGTGTTAATGAGATAACACATGGATGTCAATTCCCTAGATCAGGTCCTAGCGCTCAATAAGTACTCAGTAATTACAAGTTTCCTTCCTCTTTACTTTCTTTATGGTACCTCAATAAATTTCAACAAAGTATAACATCATGGAGAGGAACATTTAATACATGTTTTAACCCCCAATCCAAGTATCTTACCAGGGTTTGGAAAGGAACACAAGCATTCATGATCTGTGCAATTATTTTTTAAAAGTTATAATCCCAAGATGTTATACTTTTAAGATAGTAAAAGTCATACTGAATTGCTGGTGTTGAGTCATTTAAGAAGTAAACCAAATATGAGTACGTGGTATACGGAAAGTGTAGAGAACTTTCCTTTTTGTGTGCAGTAAAATCAAAGCAAAGTGTAGCCTTGCCACACGTATGCACACCTCAGGAAAAATCATTCTCTCCAAAATCATTCTTAGGCTGATGTGTAGAGATTGTAATACCATTGTAAACTGAGAGTTTAAAATGCATGCTAATTGTCTGTGACCGGAAATTTAGGTAAAAAGAACAGTTTTGGACATTACAATGTGATTTATATGTGTGGCTAAGAAAAATGTCCTTTCAGGGAAAAAGTTAGGCCTAAAGTAAAAATTGTGCTTACTATTCTTCAGCTATATATTGTGTGCCTACAGCAAACTGAAGGCTTTTTCCTGATATCAATCTCTAAAATATATATAGTGCTTTATATTTTACAAAGTACTTTTATTTATATTGTTTACTTTGGTCGTTAAAATAACTGAGACTCAGATGGTTCAGTAACTTATCTAAAGTTACACAGCTTGTAAATGGCATAGAGAACTAGAAACCACCTGTTCTCTCTCTCAACCCTGTGCTGTTTTACTCATCATACTACCTCTTCTAAGAGGAAACGTGATTTGAACTCCAGTGAACGAATATGTACACGCTTAGATCTTATCATTTACTCGAAGGAGATCCCTGTCACAAGCTACAACCATTTTCCAGAAACCACAGTTGCCATGGGAATGCTCCTTAAAGCTTAATTCTATGACATTGTATTTTTTTCTTTGTTTCTCTCCTTGGCTATAAACTCTTTCAGGGCAAGAACTGTGCCTTTCACCTCTAGGGCAGGATCCAGCATAGTGCCTATTACAGAGAAGGCTCTTAATAAGTAATTATCCAATACATGCTTGTTGAGAAGGAATATATGAATACAAAAATGAAGCTGGGCATGGTGGTGGGCACCTGTAGTCCCAACTATTTGGAAGGCTGAGGCACGAAAATCACTTAAACCTACAAAGTGGAGGTTGCAGTGAGCAGAGATCGTGCCACTGCACTCCAGCCTGAGCAACAGATTGAGACTGTCTCAAAAAAAAAAAAAAGAAAAAAGCAAATCTATGTGAAATGTGAGAGAAATTCAAGAAATGATAACAAAAACAAAATGCTCTCTGTCATCCTTAATCAGGAAGGTCAAAGCTCCATTTATGCATCCACGTGTATGAAACAGAGCTGCTCCTTCAAGACCTCAGATGTTAGAAGCCATATGGCATTCTGTCCATGTTCAAATTGAAATTAATTTGATGAGGCAAAGGGATGGAGGAGAGAGGTTAGGCCAGGACATAATCTCCTGAGTCTTCAAGATCCAGATCTACCAAATATCCCTGCAAAAAGCACAGTAATCTTCACAACATGACATCTTCAGCGAGCTCTCGTATCGGGTAACACCCAAATGGCTTTACGGGAAGAGTGGTGTACAAGTCTGTTTACACACAGCACTACACAAATTTCATTCCAAGTCCCCTTCAGTTCTCAATGACACTTTTAAAAATTACAATTGGAAACCCTATTTATCACTTGAACATCTCTGCTTCAACACATCACCTCGCGAATTGTTGGCTTGCTGCCATTTCAAACACATTGAGCAAAATGGCCCAACAGGTATTGATCATGACAAAGCCTTTCCTTTGTTATGCATTACAGTTTGCCAAAAGTCACACAGTAAGTGACAGAGGGGGAACAGAATCTAAGGCCTCACCTATCCTGGGAAACATTTTACCTCAATGTACCACAACATTTCAAAAAGTAGATTAAGGAACCCAAAGGATATATTTCATTTTTCAGTTCCTTCAGGTTTTTAGGACTTCATTAACTTTGGGTTCTGAGTCATATAGAAACCTCCTAATCCTTTAGTGACAAATTATGAAAGCACCCAATACCATCTGGAAGAGCCAAGACATTCTAAGACTATGACACATGATTTACATTAAAGACAGAGTGAATGGTGCCCCCCGGAGTTGTACCATGCAATATTCCTGCTCAAGTTAATAAAGCAAACTGTGCAAAAATGCCATTAATATAAAAACATAGAATGGTCTGGATCATTAGGAAGTGCTGGCTACTCCGATTTTGGGGATGAGGAAGACTATCTTCTAGCATGAGAATCACCTGTGCTAGGGGAAATAGGCCCCATTGCTTGGGCACACTTGCTTTCCCTCAGCGTCTGCTGTCTTAATGTTTGCTTTGTGTTTTCAAAGAGGCATTATCACCCTGCTCATACAGTGCCACTAGACTTTTCTCCCACAAGTTAAACAGGATTTGTTGGGACTGCAGAAAGCAAAGCGAGTACCATTTGTCAAATTAATGATCTCTGAAGCTTTTAAGAAAGGGTATGATGAGTCTACATCAGGGGAAATGAGCAAACGTGATGATTAACCTCCCTTGCTGGTTTCTCCAACTGAGCTTAAGGTAGTGTGGCCAAGCTTTCATGGAAATCAGGAAGACTCTGAGAGAATCCAAATGTGACCATCTGGGAGAGTTAAAAGAAGAAAATACACCATGTGGAGAGACAAGGAATGCCGCACCTGGAGTTCCAAATGAACAGAAGGAGAGAGCTTCCTCTCATCTTTGGGAGAATCCTATCTACATAGCATTAATGCCCCATACCCCACCCCAGAAGAGGCTAATCAGGGGAACCTCCTCATGGGTGCCAGATATTAGAAGACTTTACAGGCTCCATTGTGGCAGAAAGTAATCAATAAAGCCCCAGGCCCTCACTACAGAGAGCAGCAGCCATGACCTTAAACTGCCTTTTTTTTTTTTGGTCACTTGGATGGGGAGGGTCCATTTTCCTCAGTGGGCAACAAAGCCACTGATAATTAGATGTGCACATGACATGAATGTGACCTGCTGAGGAAGTGTCTGACATACCGAAGGGGCCAGGACTCACGACAAGCCTGGCCAGGAAAAAGAAACCTTAGAGAACCCCAGAGCAGCCTCTACTTTGTAGATGAATGAGTAAATGCAACACAGTCAGCCACTTAGCAAGTTCAGCCACTTCCAAACATTGCTGAGAGCCTGGCATCAGCTCTTGCACAGTGAGCTCCCTTCTCTCTCTTTTAAGCTGTGTGTTTGCTCACTCCAGTGTCACAGAGACATATTTCCAGGTGTGCACCTGGCCAAAGGAACAGAAGAGGAAGTTGCACAGACCATCCTGTCTGCCAGCAGGCTTACATGTACAGCAGAAACCAGTATTGTTTGCTGCAGTAATAAAATCATTGAATAAATTTTGTAGAGCTCTGAATTAGCCTCATAAGTGTCACCAGAAAACTCTTCCAGGAAGGGTAGGGGAATGGTGGGGCAGAGAACTCCAGGGACACAGAAAAGGACCATGGTGCATTTCTTGCAAAGGCCTTGTGCTGGAAATGCTATAAAGGCAAAAATTTTATGCTGACCATGAAACCCAATCAATATAACACAAAATTCAGGCCAGGCGCAAAGTTCATGCCTGTAATTCCAGTACTGTGGGAGGTCAAAGCAAGCAGATCGCGTTAGCTCAGGAGTTTGAGACCAGCCTGCGCAAACATGGGGAAACCCCATATCTATAGCAAATACAAAAAAAGGCTGGATGCAGTGGTTCATGCCTGTAATCCCAGCACTCCTGAGGTCAGGAGTTTAAGACCAGCCTGGCCAATATGGTGAAACCCCATCTCTACTAATAAATACAAAAATGAGCTAGGCATAGTGGCGGGCACCTGTAATCCCAGCTACTCGGGAGGCTGAGGCAGGAGAATCACTTGAACCCGGGAGCAGGAGGTTGCAGTGAGTCAAGATCACGCCATTGCACTCCAGCCTCGGTGACAAAAGCAAAACTCCGTCTCACAAACAAACAAACTCAATAAAACTACAGAACCTTGCACTTGTAGCAACCAATGCTTCCACTCCATACTGGAGTTCCCTCTGAAAGCATGCAAAAATCCCTGTAAGGTCATGGACAAAAAAATAAGAGAGACAAAGCACAAAGAATGACATCTGTTGCTTGTAACGGTTTAGCTGTCATGTGGTGGTAGCCATAAGACGGCTGCTAATCTGCATCTTCAGCCAAATTACACTTCTGAAAAGCTCGTGCTAAGCAATCAGCTGACTGGACTAAGACTGCCTCAAGGATGGGGAAGGGCAGATTCAGATTTTGTGGCACCTGAAAATCATTCAAGTTGGGCGCCTTGTTTAATAAAAAATAATATAGAATTTCACATTCAAAATTGCTAGGCACCTCCCAGAGGTGCAGAAGGAGACCATGTGACCAAGTGAGGGGCCATTAAACTCATGGTTCCTACACTTTGTCATACAGTAGAACCACTTGGGGAGCTTTAAAGTCTTGGCACCCAGTTTGAACGCCATATTAATTAAATCAGAATGTCTGGGGGTAGAAACCAAGCACTGGCATTTTTAAAGACCCTGTGGTGATTCCAATGTGAATCAAAATTTGGGAACCACTAGCTTAGGGTTAAGCCTTATTGAGGTAAGTCTGCCTCCAGCTAGGGAGCATAGTTTTCATTCACTTATTTAACTAACATCTGTGGAGCAATTGCCATATGCCAAGAACTGTATCCCCCAGCATTCAGTGCTGTGCCTGACATGAAGCTGGCCATCAGCAAACACTCGCTGAATGTAAAAATGAGCACGTTAGGCAGTGTCACCTGTTTCACGTTGGAGATGGGTTGTAGACTGGATGTGGAATTCCAGTTTATCTTTCTCTTTAGATGTGTCAGCATTTTTTTTTTTTTTTTTTTTTTTTTTTTGAGATGGAGTTTCACTCTTGTCTCCCAGGCTGGAGTACAATGGTGTGATCTTGGCTCACTGCAACTTCCACCTTCCAATTTCAAGCGATTCTCTGGCCTCAGCCTCCCAAGTAGCTGGGATTACAGGTGCCTGCCACCACACCTGGCTAAGTTTTGTATTTTTAGTAGAGACAGGGTTTCACCATGTTGGCCATGCTGGATGTGTCAACATTTTAAAGAAGTACTTTGGGCTTACCCCAGGATAGATATGCTTCATGGCTCCACCATACACATGGTGCTCCCTGTGGATTCTGGATATAAAAGAAGTCAGTCTGCAAGCCTACTGAAATATAATGAAATCTCTTTTTTAATCTACCATCCTGATCTTTGTTTTCCTGAAAATGGATCTATATAGGTGGAAGAATATTGAGTATATCTAACTATAGAGAATCCAAAAGTCTCTAAGGATTCTTATCTACCTTACTTATCTATCTTATTTACCAAAACTTCAGCAACTTCATCTCCTCCTACTCTTCTCCATATTGCAGAGTCTGAGTCTCAAAATTCAACTCATACTGTTAATCAGATGCAGAGAGAAAGGTAGCAGCTTCATCTTGTCCGTGAAAAACCTGCTGTGTCTCTGGAGCCCCCACCTCTTAGTAGCAGGAAAATTAATAGACCCAAGACCCAATTCAGTTTCAGTTTACTCTGGTCCAACAATGTAAACAGACCCTTTAAGAATTGTCCAGTCCTTAGTGGGGCATGGTGGCAGGTGCCTGTAATCCCAGCTAATTGGGAGGCTGGGGTGGGAGAATTGCTTGAACCCAGGAGGTTGAAGCTACAGTGAGCCGAGCTTGCACCACTGCACTCCAGCCTGGGTGACAGAGTAAGACTCCATCTAAAAAAAAAAAAAAAAAAAAAAAAAAAAAAAAACATTGCCCAGTCTTTATTTAAAAAAAAAAAAGATTCGGTGCTTAAATAACTTTCTCTAAGACAGTGTCCAACTTTATGAAAGAGAGGTATACCTATGAGACCTCATGGTAGGTTCCAACTCTAGCCTCTTGGTTTCCAACAGGCTGGTAGCTTCACTGTTATGTGAGGCTGTGTCATGAAGCTAATATAAATTAAGGATTTTGTTTTTCTTGGCCTGGATAAGGCTCCACAGTACCCCCTGAGTGGGTAGGCCTCATCACAGGTCCCAGCCTCTCACATATACATCATTTCTACCGTCTCTGCTGTGGCACAATCGTTCCGTGGCACACCAGTGTGTTGGCATGTCCACCAGCTCTCAATTCAGCATTGATATTGCATGGGAACATCAGGAGGCACAGGAAAGCTAAAATTAAGAACCTCCCTCTACAGGTGGGATATGGCCAAGCCCTGGGTTGAAATGAAGGAGGCCTGAGTGGTAATTTCCTTAAGTCCCAAAAGAGGAGTGGGTGGAAGACTTTATCTGCTATCTTTAATTGTCATGGAGGATGGGCAATGGTGGAAGGGTGCTGTTAAGCCTGCATATAAAGTGCAGGGAGATATTCACTCACTAAATATACACATCTCTTACAGTTGTGTAATCCTCAAGAGAGCCCCATATCTCAGATCAGCATATAAGGAGGTTGGATTTCATTGGAGTGAAAGTACATAGCTTCAGGAGAACTGACATGGACCTTGAACTTTCAGAAACCAATAGAATGAACAGCTATTAACTAGCCCCCTTGTCTTCCTCCTATCTTGAATTGTCACCTCCTTAGTCCCACTAACTAAGCCCAGCGCTTAACATACGACAGGTTCAAATCACAACATACTTTGGAATGAATGAATGAATGAGAAGTGTTCATCTACAATTCAGTCTCTCTCTTACTGGTTCAATAAACTTCAACAAAGCACTTGGTGATTACATATTGGAAGTTCATCTTTGACTGAAGATATGACACTCTCAATAGAACCTATGTTCTATTAATACCCCATTTCTCCCACGGAGGGCCGCACCATCCTCCCACTGAAACTCCCCAAGGTCCAACAGCAACCTTACTGGAGTGTAGGTTGAGAGAACTGGTCAAGAGTGATGATAGGAACTTTGAAAGGAAAAAAATGAGCTCAAATTTTAGAGCCAGAAAAAAAAGATTTTAGCCGAAGATAAGATTCCCAAACTCTACAATACAGCAAATAAGCTCAGAGTAGTTCCTCTGTATTAGAAATAGACACAGGTAAAAAGCACTTGACCAATCCAATTCTTCTGCTAACAATCACTCCTCTTCTGCTCCTTTTGCACTTGTTTCCTGGACTGATGTCCACTCCCTGGGACAACTCTCCACGTGTACACTGGCTCCACTGCCCAGTGTTTCGGTTTTTGAAATTATTTAGGAACAGCTGTAAACCTTTACCCATAACTACCTCCTCCCCACCATCTGATTGCTTTCTTCTAGTTCTTTTTATCTACAATTTCAAAATAAATATTTTGGCCTCTATTGGCAACAAACCCTTGAATCTCTTTCTCATCATTTCTCTAGATGAGAGGCTTAGATGGGGAAATAAGACAGGAAGAATTTTTTTTCTTTTTCAATTAATTTCAATGTCTTTCAAGTCTGAGTAAACTCTGGGCCCAGAACAACCTGGATGATATAATTATGGAAACTATTAATCTCTCCATCAAAGGAGAGCTGGCTTATGGTTACAGAGCAGTTGGCACGTTCCTCCAAAGGGTTTCTGCAGCCTGATCCTCCTGGTTTCGCTTGGAGCCGCAAATGCTCAGGGTACACCTTTTAGGAAGTAGGCAACTTCCTAAGAAAATGAAATAATCCTTGAGTACTTTGTGAGTTGTTCTGGGAAATTGAGCATTTTTCCTCAGTTGCTCTAAAGAAATAGCCAAATCACATTAAAACATGTTCAAATAGAATGAAACAGAAAAATCTAACATTTTCAGATCACTCAAGGCTCATCCAAAATTGTTAAATTTGGATCTTTAAAGACGAGTCAGATATCATTTGATGTGAGCAACAAACAAAGGGGTGCATTTGGAAGAAGTCTCCAAATTGCTTTGAATATTGAACACAACTATCACAGAAATGAAAATAATCTCTAGAGGTTACTTAGGACAAACAGAACAGCTATCTGGTTTGTTCAAACCAAAAATAAATATAAAAAGAAATTAGAAAATTTAATTTAGAGATTTTGTTCCAGGGTCCACATCAACAACATTTTCTTCTTCCAATGACAACAGAGTGCAGACTTCTCTGTGATGTGGGGCAGGGGACAGTACTAAAGGATTTAGGAGTTTCCTCCCAAAATTGCAGCCAATTGACTTATTCCTTGGTACAGGTAAGAAAAGTCCAACACCAGTTGCATTTCGAAGAAAGCACACTCATAGATTTACAAATGCCATCAGCCTTCCCAAATACAGCCCCCCAAATAGAACGAATTTCCAGAGAGGCCAAAATCCTCAAATGGTTTGGGATCAACAGGCATCACTCAACACAAAATGACACCATCCTATGTTGAGAGATATAATAAAGCCGTAGTATATGCATTTGCTTGAATTGTGGGCTGTGATTAACATATACAATCCCTACCCACCAAATGCTTTCAACATATACTGCTTCCTGGAAGCAAGCCCATACTTCAGGAAGTCAGATTTCTCCAAGGGAACAGAAAGACTCTTTGTTCTTTCTTCCCACTATCCTGTTGTTGGAGCCTGCATGTACATTGGGCCTGAGCAGGAAGGTATCACTTCTGTGAGGGGACTGTTCACAGAACTTTAATTTCTCTTGTAATCATATAAAGCCTGGATGGTAAGGGGGGAAACCCACAAATGTCATTATAAACAGATCCCGTGATGTCAAAAGAAAAACAGCTGGAGAGAGGGAGTTTAATAAGCAGCCTTCTTTTATTACAACAGGCTTGACGTCATTGATTATTTATTATTTCCAACACTAAAACATAAAGCCATGTGCTACACTGTGGACCAGGATGAAAAGGATATGTGGACTTTTCTGAGTATTTTAATATCCTCTTATTGACAGTAGATAGAAAAGCTGAACAAGGACTGGGAACAGGAAATGATTTTAGTGATTTTATTACGGTAATAGAGAAAAGCATTTCCAATGGCAGCGTTTGGCAGATGGTCTGGTAAGTCCTCAACCTCTAAACAGCCTGCAGGTCAACGAGCTCAATATTGATACAAGGTCAGTATGTAATTATGAGGTGTTCTAGCAAGCAGAAAAGTTTTTATAAATATGGGCTGTAGCCTTGGCAGTGGAACACAGGAAGCTGGTGTTTAAAAGTTAATTTAGGCTGTTGAGGTGGCTCATGCCTGTAATCCCAGCACTTTGGGAGGCCAAGGTGGGTGAGTTACTTTAGGTCAGGAGTTCAAGACCAGCTTGGCCAACATGGTAAAACCCCATCTCTACAAAAAATACAAAAATTAGCTAGGCGTGGTGGTGGGCGCCTGTAATCCCAGCTACTCAGGAGGCTGAGATGGGAGAATCCCTTGAACCTGGGAGGTAGAGGTTGCAGTGAACCGAGATCACACCACTGCATCTAGCCTGGGGTGACAGAGCGAGACTCCATCTCAGAAAAAAAAAAAAGTTAATTTAAAACCATTTCACAAGGAAAGGTATTTAGAGGCAGCACAAAGAATACAATAAGAGTTCTTGATATTCTAGTACAAATCAGATTTGCAATGAAATCAAGCATGGCACATCTTCACTTAAGTTTAGCTCTAGTGAAAAATAAACGTGATTGTAGAATTTTCAGAGTTTTGAGAGTTTTCAGATTTCATTCAAGAAAACCTAAGAAGTTATCAGCCAATTCATTTTAACCAACATCAAACATCATTTTGGTGAGGACACTCCCACTTAAAAATGGATTTCCCTGGAACAAAACATTCATGTTTGGAAGCTCCTTAATATGTGAGATTTGTACAGGCCTTTACAATTTCCAGTATTTAAAAAAATCTCATTAACACTTAAAATAATCCTGCAGGGTAGGCAGTAATGTCATCTCTATTCTATAGGTGAGAATGATCAGAAAGGCTAACTGACTTGGTCAAGGTCATACTGACCCTTGATCACCTGGATCAATGCTTTTCTTTTGGTTTTCACCACTAATGTGTGTTCTATTTCTGTTTGATATGACCTATTTCTGTTCAATATTCTATATATTTTAACACAATCAAAATCATATTTCATATCCAACGTGTTGTTTCCTTTTTCAAAAAATATGCTTCCCATTTTGCCAGACCTGCTTGGTCAAGCATGGATGTGGAATATAAGTTCCTTAGAGGAAATATCTTTATAGGATAATTCCTATATTCATTCATACCTATATATATATATTCCTTCCTGTAGAAGGCTATGATATTGTGTCCAGTGCCAGTTCATCACATGGAGCTCTTTTTCCTGAGCCCTAGGTGAAGCAGTCATGTTCAGAGGTGAGAACAGATTTGGAGTTCTACTTCAAATGTACTATTTCCTTGTGAACTGTCACTAAACTGTAAATCTCTCCCAATTTAGTTCAATGTCTCCCAATTTAGTTCAATGTCTCCCTGTACAAACCGTCTCTTTGGTTGACATTGTTAGGCCTTTAAATGTTTGCCTTCCTTGGAGCTTTGTCCTAAGTCCTAAACCTGTATCTGTAGCCCACTCACTCACAGAGTTCCAGGTCTGTAGAAATGAGACACCTCCATGTGGATGTCCAACAGGTATTCAAAATTGAACATATCTTTTACCCACCTTTACCTGCAACTCTTCCTGGGTTACTTCCCTATCACAATAAATGATGCCATCATCTATTCAGTTGCCTAAGCCAGAATTCTGGATTTAACTTCTCACTCTCCTTTGCTTCAAATCAATGCCCAAATCCAGCTGCATGTACTGCTAAACCTGTGTATCAAGCCCCTCCTCCTTCAGAAGGCTTTC